AGTATTCCAGATGCGTCTCTATAGATATATTCCCCTGTCTTTATAGAGAGCAGGTTCTGAAGTCAGCTTTGAACGTGGCTCTAGGTAGAGCAGGGAGAAGCATCTGACCTTGGCCGCGTCCCTGTGCGCTGCTTGCAATTCATCAGAGCTGCGGGCAAGTCCGGAGAAACAGGTGGTGCCTCAGCTGGTGCCTGGCTGGAGAAAGAAGAAGAGCCTTTTTGTTCAGGCTCGGAAACCAGCCTGATTAGCTCTTGCCGCTGCTCCTGGCACAGGTTATTGGGAAGAGGAGGGGAATTGCACACAATGCTTCCCTGCAGCTGCTATTGCTGCTGGAGTCGTCTCTATTGGAGTTGGTTTCTTTTTTGTGGCAAAATCAAGTGCAAATGCTTCAACCAAACCAGTGCGGTATTCTCCTGGGACCCGCAATCTGAGATGCGTCGATTCTGCTGTGCAAAGTTCAGATGGATGGGCAAGATACTGACTTGGTGTTTGTGAAGTGAATTGGTTGGAGTTAGAAAATGTGCTTGGCCAGCCTGCTATTATCTTGAGCTTTTCCTAAGTATTTCCCCATGCTGTTGCTAGTATCACTTTGAATAATGTGGAAAGTGCAAGTATTTTCTTCCACGTGGCCTCTGCAGAGGCATTAAGAGTGTAAATAGAAAATACATAAGTATTTTATCTCTGTATTTCTTGTGATAATAAGCTTGTGAGCATAGATATATAAATTGTAATTCTTGAACATTTTCCGTGTGCTTTATTTATTTATTTATTTATTTATTTTTAGGGTTTCATCTCTGAAATAATAGAAAATTAGATTTTGCCCATATTTTAACATTCAAAATATCATTTTAGCTTTATTCAACAGGCTTCTGTGTTGTAGATGAGGTATCTCAGCTGAACTGGATTTTTACAAATTGAAAATGCACAGGAAATGACAATATGAAGAATATAAATGTTTTTGCAGCCTGTCTTCTTTTTTAAGACAAACATAAATCTTAGAGTTGTTACAGTCTTAAAAAAGAGTAGGGGAAAAATTAAGTGACTTTAATTCTTCTTTTATGAGGAAATTAATATTTTTTGTTGGACCATGAAGGAAACCTGCTTTTAGCAAAACAGTTATGTATTTTATGATCCGGGTAATCTGACATAATTTTAGAGCATTGTTTCTTATTCTTGAAAAGGGTGAAAACACTTCATGAGCTGAGTTATCTTCTTAGTCAGACTTTATCTTGTTTGATTTCATTCCAGATATCAGAAAAGTCATTTGTGCTGCTGGCAGCTTCTTGCAGTAACTGTAGAGGTGCTTTTCTTTTTTCAACAATGTACAGAGCCAAAAAAGTCGTAGTTTGATTTTGATAAGACCGGAAGTTAAATCCACATAACAGGAACACAGTGCATATTCTCTTAGTAACAAACAGTCTCAAAGATGGCAGCAGCTCAACAGGCAGCCAAACAGGGTAGTGTTTAGTGAGGATGATGAACAGACTTGAGTTAGGGTAATTATTTTTGTTTCTTTAAATTAGTATTTTCAATAATAAACTTGCACCTCTCTCTCTGCTCTTGGTCTAATCTTTTATAACTTGGAATTCTCCTCCTGATACTCAGCAAAGTAGTTCCTCTGGGATGTTTCATGGGGAAACTTCTTTCGACTCTTACTTTAGGAAAACAGAGAAATGGAAGAGAGAGCAATTGGGGTAGCCCTTTTGCATCATCATGTAAGGATGATTCCATACACTTTAGCAATTTGACTAGAATGCTATTAATACAAGATGAAAACCTAAAAGAACATTTTTACGTTTAAAATATTCTGCTCTATTGTTCCTTAAGAAAACTAGAGATTGAAAGTAATGTCAGAGAAACTGTGGGATCATCTTGGAATTTTTTAGAGAAGCTAAAGGTCACTGTCTAGAAGACTTCTTCTGAAATCTTGGAATGCACAAAGATTACTCTCCGGGCATTTGATGCCACGCTAAGAACTGTGCTAATACTGATGAATCTTGAGAACTAACCTCAGCAAGGCTTGTAGAATTCTCCAGGTGACAAAGATCACTCATGATCTGCTGACGTGTGCGTGATATATGAAATGTCAATAAGTCTGAGGTGATTTTTTTTTTTAATAAGCATAGGAATCCTGTAGGCAAACTGTTTGTTACAGTTGTTTGCTCAGTCTAGGAGCTAGTTAGCTGTGTCATTGCAATTTGTAATGCTTTGCTCCTCCATGCAATTTGGTGCTCCCTAATGAGCCTGATCTTTGAGCAGCAGACTTTGATTTGTGGTAAAACCTGTAGAAACCAGTTAGTGTAATTTCACAGAAGTTTCTGACTTATTTTGTGTCCAGTTCTATAGTAATTCATAAATTTTGTGACATCTGTAGCTTTTTTTTTTTTTAACAGCTCCTCTTCCCCCCTCCCCCCAATTAATAATGCTCTATGTAGTGTATCTTGAAAAGCTTTTATAAACAGTTTTTCCTGTTAGCTCTGCAGCTGTCAAGTCCTTAATAATTTCTGGGCATCCTTGCTGCTTTTCACATCTCCAATGACGTTCCTCTCGTAAGCTGTTTCCACAAAAGGCCTGCATTGTCTTTGCTCACTGGGTTTCCAGAACAGTTCTTAGCTGTCTTTGGCTGATATTCTATAGTCTTTTGAATAGTTATCCATCCCTCAGACCTATAGTATCTTCATCCATGTTTATTCATCAGGTGCATGAGGTGATTTAGTGAAAACACGTGATGAGATGTTTATTTTCCATAGTCACAGCGTTGGATTAAGGTTATCTAACACTGTGACAAAACAATTACTGACTTGACTATCTCTTGTTTAGGAAACAGGTTTAGGTTTGTTTCTGACCTAGACTTACATTTCCACATGGCATGAAATACCTGCTGAGTTCTTCTTCGGAGCACTAGGGAAAATGCTCTGCTAAACAAGGCCCCTTCTGGTGTTTCCTCAGGAGGGGTGATGGATACGCTACCACCGTGCTGCCAGCACCACGTGATGGTGGAGCTGGGAGCTGGTGACAGCCATGGTGGCCCCTCCTTCAGCACCCCCAACAACACCAAGGTTAACCCTGTCGTACGACCACAGCAGTGTGATGTATGAGCTGGGGTTAGGTTGCTGGAAGGGGCTAAAATCATCTTAAGCCTCCTACCTTAACTAGGATCTGGGTTTTGTGGAAGGCTGGATTTTATTGGGTTCTGTTTCCCATAACCTCTGCAGATGAGAGCTCTGGGGCAATGAATGGGAATCTGCTTGTTGCAGTTGATACATACTCTTCGACCGTGTGACCTGTGGCTAGTAATCAGTCAAGAACAACTAAACCCCCAGCGCTCAGATAATTTCCTCAGTTTTGCATTCAGCTGAATGCTCACCTCCTTCCAGCATTACAGGGTGATATTCTGGGAAAACATAAATGCTCATGAGCCTTGTGTTTGTTCTATGGGGAAATAACATGAACAGAGAGAGATTATAGACAGTAGAAATAAATATCATTTCAGAGCTTGTAGTTTTTCCCCCCTCCAACTTTCATTTTGAAAGTTTATTTAATGCTGTCAGGTGGTTTAGTGAAAACACTCAAGAAGAATAGAGAATCATAAAGCTAAATAGATTTTAACTATACATGAGATTATCTGGCTAGTGTCAAGCTGATTCACACACAAATATGCATTTGCCCAGTGCAGATCTTCATAGTGAGTAAGGGAATAAAGAGCTAAATTCCACCTTCAGTTAGCTGTTATAAAGAATGAATGGATTTGTTTAACATCAATAAAACATTAAGAAAGCATGAATAGTTAGGAAAAAGGTTTTTTTTAAAGATTGTAGAAAATTATGTGAAACCTTTAAGCATGATGGTAATTTTCCAAGGCTAATTCGGTTTATGTCTTGTATAACTAGATTTCTCTCTTCAATCACATACACACAAAAAATGTTCCTAGTTACGTAGTCCTTTTTCAGCAATCAAAGGAACACTGCTTGGGAATGAAAATGTTTAAGTCCCAGCAGAGAGAAAAAAGGGATACTGTGAGTGCTATCCTTCCAAACAGGGGTTATTTATTGCCTCTTTTATGGAATTTGCACCACACCAGAATTTAGATGAGTTTGTATACTGTATACAATACACAGTGACTTGAAGCTAGATGGTTATGAAAGAAATGACACTTGTGCAACTGTCATGCCGTTTTCTGCTGGCTAAAAATTATGCACGTTCATGTTAAGAATTAGTGATGTAAGACTTTAGTCTTCAGTATGTAGATATTTGAAGAATATGCCTTATTTGCAAAGGAATTAATTTGTGAAAATTTATGATAGCTTTGTTACTTGAAATGTGGTTTATTTGAAAATAACCTTTACTGTATATACTTGTTGTTGTTATTTCCAATTTTTGAAAGTGAAATATAAAGATATATTGGTTTGGTATTCATTAATGATATTACTAACTTCTGAAATGATCCCCAAAAATGAGATTTTTGGGGATGGAAACTGAATGTTTACATAAAAAAAACTAGGGGCAGCTGGCAGTTGTTTAAGTCAATTACTTTACAATAGGTTTGATTGTTAATGTATTAGAAATCTCGCTTGTGGTTACTAAATATTAACCCTCTTGATAGTCTCTCAAGAGTAGTTTTGATTTAGAAATTAGGGGCTCCTTTCTGCTTTTCTCATAGTAAATTTGTAAAGTGCTAGAGAGAGATTTTGAAAACAACTCAATTTGCTCCTGCCTGGTTGTAATATCAACAGAGAATGCAGAGAATGTGCAATTTTTTAGTTTCATTAATGTTGCATTGTTTAGCTCTTTTCAGTCTGTTTACATAGGATTTAATATCATGTTATGATAACAGAGTTACTAAATGCTGTATAAATATTTGTTTGCGATTCAGAATCATGTTCTAACATACTTCCATAACCAACATGTAAGAAAGCTGGGAGGCAAATTACAAGCACAAAATGCCAAAAGTTCTAATCTTTCTGAAATAACGATTTCCTTGTTTTCTGTGTCTCATGCAGGCTTTCCTTCACCGAATGATCCAGTGTGCGACAGCCAAAGTGGATAAAAATGTCACAGAGGAGACAGTTAAGGTGAGTTTTCTAATTGCATATGGCTTTTCTCTTATGTCTATTGTTTTATTTATGCATGCTTTATTCTTTTTCAGATGTTGTTTTCAAATATCGAAGATATCCTTGCAGTTCACAGAAATTTCCTGTCTCTAGTGGAGGAATGCTTGCAACCAGAACCTAATGCACAGCATGAAGTGGGAACTTGCTTTCTTCATTATGTATGCTATTTTTTATTACAGCCTTATGTTTTACTTGTTTTTCTCCTTTCTGGTTGTTTTTATTAATCACTGACCTGGTGGTGAGTGCACAGTCATGAGGACAAATTATGACTTGATTGCATAATTTAGAGTAACTTTAAGGTCATTTCTTGTTTACTGTTATTGCCAAAAAAAAAAAGCAGGGGCAGGTAGAGCAATGCTGAGTCCTGTAGCAGTGTGCCCTTGGAATGGACGGGGCTGTGGCACCCGCAGGGGCCAAGGGCTGCATCTTTCACCAGAGCCTGTTTCAGTGAATGTCCCTGCTGGACAATACGCTCTGGAAGTGCATTTCAGCCAAGGCTGTGGGAAGATGAGGGAAGCTTTCTGATGCCAGCACGTGAGCTGGTAGAACTAAGAAAGGATGAGTTTTAGACAGGGGCAATAATCATAGACTTGATCCTGCACAAAAAAGTGTGTAGAATATTTAGCAATTAATTGTGTTGGTTGGGTAAAATGCCTCTGCAGTTCTTGACTGTGAAGATTTTACTACTTATGCCTCCAGTATGTGTGCATGTCCTGTAGCAGTTATTTTCTAGCAGCATTAGTTTTCCTGTTTCCAAACCTCTGCAAAATGAGAACCAAGTAGTTTATTTTCCATTAGGAGCCTAAGAAGAAGTCTGGGTTTCATTTTTCTGTGTGCTTAGCGTATCGTTTGTTTGCTAAGTCTGTCTTTATGCATTGAGGGGAGAAAATTGTTAATGTTTAGTGCGAAAGATTTACAGAATTGGACTGACAGTTTTTTGACTCTGCAGAAATATGGATCACATTTGGAAACATGCATGTGTGCATGCATAACAGGTAATGATGTCTGCAAATATGGAACTGGTTGTGTTTTCTTTTTTCTATTTTCTTTGTATTTTTTTTGCCCTGTGTTTTTGGGATAGTCCAGCCTCCGAATCTTTTCAACAAGTGCTCAAGTGATATTTCCAGCAACTTTACAATTCAAATTAAAAGCAGAAATAAAAAGTACCAAAAAAAAGAGAAAAAAAACCCCAAAATAATAAACGTAGAGAGAGGAGCTGACCTTCCAAAATGAAGACTCTATTAGCTATTCAGCTTTCAAAAGTGTACATTCCATGTGGTGTTTATTAAAAAAAAAATCAAAATGACAAGAACAAGGTATTTCTTTGTTTCTGCAGAAAGAGAAATTCCGTATCTATGATGAATACTGCAGTAACCATGAGAAGGCACAGAAAGTTCTTCTTGACCTTAACAAAATAAGAACAGTGCGGACTTTTCTTTTGGTAAATATGTTTTGAATTGGTATTCTAACTCAGTATTATTTGACTGCGCAGTGAACTGTTAATGTTTTTTACTCCGCTATGTAAGAACTACGAGGTCACCTGCAAGTGCTTAGAGGACAGTTTTACTTGAGGGTGATATTGCTAGTGGAAGGGGCTAAGTACATTCCATTTTCACTACCAAGTCTCACTCTGTGCATAAAAAAGCATGACCATGTGCCTTGATCTCGCTGGCCGAGAGACAAGGGTGTAAATTCAGCAGTGGCATTAGGAAAAAAAAAAGAAAGAAAGAAAAAATAGGATAAGATGCATGAGGAAGAGTAGGGGAAGGGTAGGGATAGGAAAGACTGTCCTTTTTTTTCTGGTCAGAACTTCTGAGAAGACGCCCATATTTTGATACTGTAGTTCTGATTGTGCCAAAAGGAAGAAAATGTTTTGCTAGAGGCATCCTGATCTTAGACGCTGGCATAATCTGAGGTCAAAGAAGCAGCTACACAGTTGGTCTTTCACTTTACAAGCTTACTAAGAAGTATGACAGTCCTCATGATTTTTCCACAACAGAAACAGTTTCTCAATATGGAGTTTCTCAGTAGTTAACTTTAATTGCAAAAAGATAAAAATCAATAGAGACTGTTTTTTGTCTTTTCCTTTGTGGCATCCTGTGATAACAAAGTCAGTTTTGAAATGTATGGCATATTGTACTAGAACTTAAATGTCTGAGGTGCTCTCAAATATTAAACATGAGAATGCTCAACTCAAATGCGATTGAAGTATTTTGGAACTAGGAGTGGACTTAAGCAAAAGACACTATCAGCAATGCACCAACGGCAGGGCCAGATTTAGTATGAAGGGAGGAATGCTGTTTACAAAGATTAAAAAAAGCAAAATATTCCTGAGAAAAGCTGAAAAGAGCTTATTTTGTGGGAGGCGTGTACAGTTACAGCAGTTCATGATGTATCAGTGTAGCGCACTCCTGGGCACATGCAGAGGGGTTCTGCATCTGCCTTGGGTTCCTTACAGATTCTGGACATGTCTGACAGATAAGTTGCAGCAGTCTAAACTAGAGAACAGATCAGACCATTCAACTTGAAAGTAAAATTGAAGTTTCGTAGACAGACAGAACAGTTTAGTTTATTCAAGAGTTGTGATTATCTATGAATACTAAGAAGTTGAAGCCAGGCCTTAAAACTCCTACACATAAACCTATAGTTTACCTTGCCATTATTTTATCGGCCAGTCCCTTTCAATAAACCTTCTTGTGTTTGGCCGTCAAAGGGAGATCCTTTAGGGTGAAGGACCTGAAGTACTGTAAGCCTGGAGCTGATTAATCAGGAATGCAAAGCCCAGATGTATGGCTTGGCACAGAGGTCTCCATAGTAGCCCTGGTTATCGGGTGTGCGTGTTGTGAGTTACATGGTAAGGGGCACAGCTGCCTAGTTGTGCTGCTCCTCCACCATCCATCATGTGTCTGCGTCCTGATTTGTGGCCTGTGCTGACACGCTGTCTGCTGTGTTAATCTGCTTTTGTTTACTGTTCTCAGTGTAGACAACTTGAAGCTTTAGGTCATCTCATACCATCTCATACTCACTTCTCATCGCTCTATAAAATATTTTCCATCTTTACTGTAAGTCTGTATGTACTTACACTTTAATTCCAGAATTTCCAAATATTTGCTGTGATGCCTCTGTATACTTGATTATCTCAAGTAGCTCAAATTCTCTTCTCTCTCTCGGCGTTTTTTTTTTTTTTTAATGTATGTGTGTTTTTCTTTTGTGTGTGTGTTTGTTTTTTTGTGGATGTTTTCACCAGATATTGCATATATTCCCAGCTTCTGTGAGTGGATGTATTGTCAAAACTCATATACTCTTTAGCTCGCCACAAAGATATTTTATTCAATCATCCATATTAAAAAATATGGACAAAAGACTTTTTGTGTGTTAGGATGGCAATGTTCAAACCTATCAAGCTATCTTTGGTGCTACCTACTGTCTCTAGTGAGGCTTTGGAACCAGCAGCATCTGCAATGATCACCCTGAGTTCTTTTTATTTTTGTTTACTGAAATGTGAAAGTATATTTTCAAATTTTCTTTATTGTCTTTTATAGTCTCTTAATCGGCCTGGATGAATAGGGTAGCCTTGGGGAAGAAAATGCCTGCATTTTTTATCTGCATTGCAGGTTCCCTGTGGTGTGTGTGGCCCTGTCTATGTGTCTGTGCTCAAGCCTGTTCTTGTGACAGTTTTGCAAACGTACCTTATAATATATAAAATAGATGCACATGTAATTTCTGTATGGGTTCACCAGTACCTCTGTATGGATATGTCCTTGCCTTTATTTCTGATATTTTTTAATGGCAATTGCTTTCATATAACTTTCTGTCTACTAGAGATTATCGAAAAGTAATGCATACCTCTCCTAACCGATAGAGAACTCATGGCTTGAGAAAGTGTAATTTTCTTAGAATTTTGTAGTAATTTTTGAAATTGTTTGCCCTGCAGAACTGCATGCTGCTTGGAGGACGGAAGAACACCGATGTGCCGTTGGAGGGGTATCTTGTAACTCCCATACAGAGAATATGCAAGTATCCCCTTCTTTTGAAGGTACTATGGCTTTGTTATCTAAGACCTTATACTTGCTATATAAAACTGGTTGCTAAGTGTATTTCAGAACTGCCAGAACAATCTCTTTACACAGTGAATGATCTCTTTATTAGGTATCAGAGGCTTGCTCTCATTAAAGCCAGTGGCAAGTCTCTTGTCATCAATATTAAAAAGACTGAAGAGTTGGCTGGGTGAAAATTATCAGCTCCTTTCTAAATCTAATAGTAATGTTTCTTCTTCATTGTTGTAAAAGTAGCCAGCCATTTAAGGGAGTTTATTGAAACAGATTTAAGTTGGATTTGGCCATTGCCTGCTTAAATGCTTTAGATAGCAGAGTTGTTACCAACATGAGTCTTTGCTGAGTCTAAGTTAACACAGCAAACTATAAGTGGAGAAAATTTACAAAAATGATATGTAAGAAACATTTGGGAGTAACACCCAGATGCAGTATGTGGTTCTCTGCAGGTTTGCTTTTGTGTGTTTATGCTTTCCTGTCTTATCATGGCTTAAAATTTAATAATGTTAAATAGGCTGTAAACATTAGATATTCAAGCCTCAGAGTTATTAAAATTTTCTTGTGTTAGGAAATTATCAAATGTTAAAAAAGTATATATTTAAAACAAACATATACAGATATGAATTTATATATTGTCATTGACTAAAGAGCTGAGGAAAAAGCAAGAAGAGATTCTGCTTTAAAAGTTACTTGAAACCTGATTATTGGACATTTATAATACATTTTTGAATTTAGATGTGAAACATTGCCAGCTATGAGGCATCTGCATTTCATTGCAGAATTAAAATAAACATGTTAAAGATTTTTTTTGAAAGAGGAATATAGTAATTGCAGTGAGGTTTGAGTCATCCTACAGCTCCACTTTTACAGTTCCCTTGGCCTACTTAAAAATTATTTTTATATTCTATTTGTTGAATGAGGTATCTACAAACAAAACAGAGGAAGCTGACTAATGAATTACAGCAAGGATGCATTGAAATCAGTGGTAGCTAAAACAAATTTAAATACAAGGTGTTGTGGCAACAGAGTTAAGGCTTTTAGCTCTGCCTCCAGAGAGGACGTATATCCAAGCGGCAGTTAGGATATGCACTGAAGGTTGTCCTTAATCAGTTCAGCTGCAAATGTGTAAATGAGTAATTAGCAGTTTGAGCTGGGAAATTGAGGGGAGCTTTATATGTATCTTAATGGATACTGGCAACTCCCTCTTCACCTTTTCTTTAAGAGTGGCTGCCATCACCAGGGATGCTAAAGCAATAAGTCACCTCGACTGTTCACTGTGCTGGTGTATTAGATTGAATAGCAGCGTGGAGTTACAGAAATGTGTTTTTTGTTCCAATTTTGACATCAGTAAATAAGTATTTGTAAGTGGAGTGGACTTTGTTGAACGATTCCATCCCATGGAGTATAAAAATAGTCAGAGCTGAGTATCAAGAAACATTTTTTTTTTTTTTTTTTGCTGGAGGAGGAAAGTACCTGCAATCCTATTTTTTTTCTGAATAGCATTTGTATTTATTATTCTTTATTTCTTTGAGTTTTAGTGTCTTACTAGAATGCAATGCTATACTGCTTTTCCACCTAATGAAATGGAAGTCTGTTTATTCTCAGGTGTTTTATCCCAGTCAACTTAAGCCTCCTGTGATGCATGCTTAGAGATTGAAGACATATATACATACATATATATATATATATATAAATTTTATGTCTAAACAGGAGTTACTGAAGCGAACTCCAAGGAAGCACAGTGACTATGCAGCATTAATGGAAGCCCTCCAAGCCATGAAAGCTGTCTGCTCCAACATAAATGAGGCCAAGAGACAAATGGAAAAATTGGAGTTTTTAGAAGAATGGCAGTCACATGTTGAAGGATGGGAGGTAACACAAAATGCATTGTTCTGTTCGTTGAGGAGGTGGCAATATAATTTTACAAGTACGAAGATTTCCACAGGCTTGTATCACGCTGCTTTTGTGATTCTGAGGTACTGGGACCTCCTGAATCTTTCTGTGAAATCACAGCTTTTGTTCAAGATCTGTTGTCCGTTCCTGAGCACTGCTAGATAGAATAGAGGACTTCCAGGAAACAGCAAATATTTAGTGTTTGACTTGTGCGTTGATGCAAATAGTCAACATTCTCTATGCATATAAATCACAGTCTAACTGCTGCTGTCACATTTTACTTCCTTAAGTAGTTGCTTAATAACATTTTTCAGTTTGAAAAAATATTTGATTATACTGTAACAGAGGATAGACCTTCAATTAATTACACACTGGCTACTTACCAAGCATATAAAGCTTAACTATTAGCTGTAAGATTTGTGACCAGCTTGTAGGCTGACAAACATGATAGCAAGAGGATTGTGTGTTTCTCGTTCTAAAGTGATGTAAATCTCCAAAACTGTGCCCCCAAATCCCATCCTAATCTTGGCTGTGGAGAGGCAGGGACAGCTGATATTGATAGATAATGAGTTTTTTGTTTTGTCAAAGATGTAGTGTCTGGAAAAGGCGCAAAGAAAAATGTATTTGGTTGAACATATTCTGCTATGCTTTAGACCTAATGTTTCTACTGCTTAGAGAGATTGCCTTCATACAATGGGAAGAGAGGAAAAGGTCAGGGAATTTGGTTAGAATCAGAGAGCCTTGAGATGAACCTGCCTGAACTTCATCTCACAGAGTTCTCCCCAAAGACTGAAGACTTTGCAAAATAGAATATTGACTAGAATAATCAATTAGGTATGCACAGTAATGGGTTATAATAACAGACATCAAAAATAGCATTTTCTCTACCCCCTGTTTCTGAGGCAGTGGGTCTCTGACTTGAGGCAGTTCTTTCTTAGTGGCCAAGGTTTTGATGCAGTCTTCTGGTCCCCCTGCAAGTTTCCTTTTCTGTTTCCCTGTACTGTCTCCTTGTGCTGTTAGTTCCCAATTTATGTGCTGTTTTTTGAACCTGCTATGCCTCAACGGAGCCTGTACGTTCCAGCAAAGGGTTGTCTCCCCTCTGCCTTCCAGAAGGGCTCAGCTAGAACACGTTGCGTCTTAAGGGAGCATAAAAATTGTTCTGAGTAAAGTACCCTCCATGACACTGTAGAATTGTTTCCTATTTGACTCCAGTTTAAGTTTTCTCATCTGCAAACTTGTGCAATTTTTGGTTTATTGTAAATTGAGCGGTATTGGGAGATTTGATTCATTTTTCCATGGATTAAGCAGTTTTACTTTAGTCAAAATCCTTCTTGTTTCTTGAGTATGCTATGATGAGATTTGAAATGCATTATTTAGGGCATTTTCTTTTATAATGCAGCTGCACTTTAAAAAACTAACTCATCCATTTCTCTAACTGGGTAGGTATAACGTAGAGCAAGGGAAAACCTCTTGTGCCAGAGATCTGAGCACAGTAGTTTTCATATTTCTTTGCTATAGTACAGATACAACATGTTCATGGTGTGCCAAACCTGCGTGAATTGCCAAAAAATACACACTGGCTTGAAAGAAGGCATCTTTGTATATACAGGCTTTATAGATGCTGTTCTGTATTCAGACAAATCTGTCTGCATTTTGGTGTAATCCCATATCTTCAAAGAAAAAAAAAAGGGGGGGGGGAGAAAAAAAAAGGGAGGGGGAAAAAAAGGCTAAGACAAATAATGTCATAGAGCGTGTACTTGTGCTATGATATTATGATATTGTTTGCAGGATTTTGGGAAAGGAATGACTACTTAGATAAAGTAAAAGCTCTACATGTTATAATTGAGAGTTCTAGTTGACCTTTCCACAGGAAGAAAATATCTTGAGTGACTTGTTTTTACCTAATCTAAACACTTTTTTTCTCCCTTGTGGTTAGCTCGAGCTTGCTGTCATCAGCTATGACTCGGACAGATTAGCACATGTAAACATAGAAGTGCATTAGGCATGCGTGTGCAACAGCTTCGTGGTAGAAGCACCAGCAACACTTATGTTACAAATCTTTCATGGCAAGAGAAACTTGCTAAATCCTTATTACCTATTGCTGACTTTATTCTTTCTATTATTTTTTCAATAAACTTGTCTACTTCTATATTGATTGCCATTCTTATATGTTCAGCATCTTGAATTTTAGAGATATTTCCCAAATGCATTTGAAGTGTTTTGGCATTCCTTCTACCTTGTGCATAATAGAAAGAACACAGGAATTTGATACAAGTTTTTCATAATTATTTTAATGCTGTGCCCTTACAGTCTCTTGCATAGTTGGTTAATTGAAACTTCACCACAAATAAAGTCAAGTTGGTTTAAAAATTTTGAAACTCTTATTGAAATCTTTTAATTTTTTTCTTCGCTAACAGTAGCGTAGCTGTTAATTAGAAATTTGAGCAACTCGGGAACCTAATTAAAGAACAACTTGTTTAATTAAGTTTATCATTTTCAATCAATGGTTTGTCTTGACTGCTAGTCTTTTGCTACAGTTAATGTAGCGCTATGGTTAGTGTAGCGAAGTCACACCTAACATCATAAGGAAAAGCTGCTTAAGAAATGACTCTTCTCACACCTCTGTTCCCCAAAAGGGAAGCTGTTTTCCTATATTAAGTTTCTTCTGACTCTTTGTAAGACATAGAGTAATAAGTACCTTGCTGTTGAAAATATGTTAACAAGCAAAGATAACAATATGGACAGAAACATGTGAGATATATAGACCTGTTCCTTCTGTGCTCTGAATCTTCTCTGCCAACCTCAAAGCACTAATTTCTTTCCAAGACTGTCTTTTTTTCCAGATCAGCTTTGATATTATTATTCAGATCAGATCTGATATTATGGCAACGATAGGATGCCCAGTTTGACAAAATTGCCCTGATTTTAATACAATCATCCTTTTCAAACATAAAATGAGTTCAGCCCATGAGGTGGTATGAATTCCAGAGCATTCTTAAGAGCGAACAATATTTTAGAGGGTTCCCAGCAACAACAACAAAATTTCTGAATGCAATATATGAGAGTGGAATTAATTAAGTAAACATCTGGTTTTCTACATAGCCTAAAAATAAAGAGGCAAAATTGTTGGAGATTTCCTAGCAGAAGGAAATGCTTAGCACATTGCTTGGCCTCAGCTAGAAGGAAAGCAAAAAAAGGCTATTTTTAGAATCTGATCAAAGCATGTCTTGAATTCCTATACATAAGTGTCATGAAATGAAGCTTGTGTTGTTATGATAAAAATACAGATTTATGGAAGAATGGAACATCTGTTTCAAGAAAGAAAATTTGGAGCATAATGACTTTCTCACTTAATTTCCTAAGAGATTAAATTTATTGGACCATGTTCAGGACTTGCGTAGGTGGCTATCTCAGCTGGTAAAATGTCTCAGCGACTGAAAGAGTCTGTCATTGGACTCTGAGTGGATGTTTCAGTGCAAGAAGAAAAATAAGACTGTTGCATTTGTTGTAAGCTGAAAACGGAACAACCCAGTTTGAGTCACAGGCCAGCGAAGTAACAATAGCGTGGGGTATTCTGTCGCATACGGCGTTTCCGTTCCACCATATCACCAAGTAGCATTTGAATAGAGATTTCTATTTTAAACTTCAGATTTTTTAGCTCTTTTCCTTGTTTTATTTCTCTTTTCGATGCACGTGTGCAAAGAATAAAGAATAACTTTATATCCTAATTTGCAATTTCTTTGCTTTATCACTGTTAAAGTGATATCCTTTGAATCAGTAAAGTCAAACCTCTGTATATGAAATTTAAAATTTGTCCAGAATATAGGTGTAAGTAGCTTTTTTTTAACAGATAAAACATTAAACACAACGAATGTTGCTTTTGAACTCATGGTAACAAAGCAATTTTTTTAATGCCAAGGATGAATAATTAATGGCTTCAGATTGAGAGTTTTTTAAATTTCAAGGAGTCTCTCTCCTCACAGTACATTTTAGAAGTATTTGTTTTGTGCTGTGGTCCCACACTTCAAGCTTTCAGCTGAACAATGGCCTGAGTGGACTGATACTCAACTGACAGCCAATGTTGTTAGGATCCAGTTTTACATACTAAAAGCCCAGAAGCTCTGAGAGCCCTATGGGCTTGTTATTTCTGTACCATCATAGAGTCCTCAGCCCCAGCCTGACCCACTGGACAGGACTACTCTACAATTAGATATTCAGAGCCTTTGATGGTTCAAAGCAGAGAAGGAGTAAGGCTAATCTGGGTTCAAAGTATAAGCCTGCTTTTAAGGTTGACTTTTTCTGACCAAATCCTTCATATGTTTTGTTGGAAGATTAGTAAAACATGTTTGTTTCTACAATACAGTACTATTTTCAAGTTTACATTTCACTAAAGATTCCCCACCAGCTGTAATTGTAGGTATTTTTGATATATAGAAAAATGAATTATAACCTAGTAGTAGTAATTTTATACTTAGAATGAATAACTATGTTCTTCTCCTGAAAGCTGTGACTATAAATATACATTTTCATGAAAAGTTACATTGAAAATAGCTTTTTAAATTCAAATTGCTCATATATGAAATTTCACTGATAGTTTAAATTCAAACATGTAATGTTTGTGTTACAACATCTTAGTAATACTTACCTGAACGATCTTTCAAATATGATTTTTTTGTGCCAGTCATATTTTCACCTTAAAACTTTAAATTCCTCTTCTATTTTGTTTCCCTAGCAATTATTATTTTAGCTTTGTAGGAAATTTTCTAATTTCAAAATTATGAAAATGTATACAGCGTTTTGAACTCGCATGTTGACTTTGGGCTTTTTAATCTAATTTCAGGAACAAATATAAATCTCTCGATTTATATTTGGGAATATATTCAAAAAAGGGATTTTGAAAAATTCCTTTTCAATATAATTATTTCAATTCATTTGCTGATTTTGTTGATTCATATCTGATTCATAATTTCTATTATAATTACTATTATTTTATTACTTTTCCTAAGGTTTCATAAAAGGTTGTTTTTTTTAATTAGTATTATTGATTAGTTATTCTCTATTCAATATGGGTTTTTCCCAATATGGAATAAACTTTTCCACAGTAAGAAATCTAACTGTTTTTCATGTAGCAAAAATATTTTGACTTCCTTTTAATTAGGAAACAGGTACCAAAAAACCTAACAAAAACAACAACAACAAAGCCCTCTAGAAATACTTCAGGTATCACAGTTTCTGAGATCAAAATATTGTAGCTTACCAGTTGCCACATTTTAAGGCTGCACTGGAGATTGTATTTTTTCTGAAAGTAATACCTTCCATCTGTTTGAAATTTCTACATTAAAATCTATTTCTAAACTTTCTAAGACATTGAGAATGTTTCACTCTGATGAGATTTTTGTTGTTATTTAGAAGGATTAGAAGCCTAAGTCCTAACTCCTGAATTTGATTACTTGAAAGAACCCCACCCCTACAAAATTATGAGACCAGATGGACTGTATCTGAAGGCATGTTCTGGAGAAGATATCCTCTATCATCTTTGAAAGGTCCCTGACATCAGGGTTGGTCCCTGGTGGTCAGAGAGAGGCAAATGTTTCGCCTATCTTCAAAGAAAGGCCAAACAGACAATCATGGAAAATGCAGACCTGTCAGATGCTTTTGGTCCCTGGGAAAATTGCGAGGGAATTCTTGGACCACATTTCTGGACAGATGATTGGGAACTGTCAGCATGGATTTACCAAGGGCAAATCATGCCCAACCAACCTGATCACCTTCTTTGATTAAATGACTTGTTGCCTTGTGGGCAAGGAGAGCCTTTAGGAAGGCTTTCAACACAGTCTCCTGAGTGTTCTTGAATCCAAGCTGGGGTATTGCAGTCTAGGTGGATGATCAGATTCAGAGGGTAGTGGTAATTGGTTAATGGTGAATGGGCAACTCTATCTAGTTGCTTGTGGCCAGTATACTACCTTGGGGGAGTCTCTTTTGGGACTTGCCCTGTTTAGCATCCTAATCAATGACCTGGAGGAGGCAATGGAGTCACCTTGCATCACTGTTGTCAGCTTTGCAGGTGGCAAATTATGGTGGGGGAGGAGAAGGAGGGCAGTCAATGCACTCAAAAGCATGGTCAGCACTCAGAGAGACCTAGACAAACTGGAGGAATAGTCTGACAGGAACATTACGAATCTCAGCAAGGCAAATGCCAAGTCCTGCACCTGGGAAGGAAGAATCTCTGGCTCCGGTGCAGGCTGGGGATGTACTGGCTGGGTCTCCATGCCTCAGCAGTGTGTCCTATCAGCCAAGAGGACTGTAAACCAACATAGCGAGCAGAATGAGGGAAATTATTATTCCTCTTTGCTCAGCACTCATCTAGAGTACTGCATTCAGTTTTGGGGCCCTAATACACAAAAGATGATCAAGTGAAGTTCTGCAGTTACCACTAAGATGGTTAGCTGAGCACATGCGCTGTGTGGAGGGACCTGGACTTATTCAGCCTGGAAAGGATCATCTGGAGAAGCTTTGGGAGTGCCCTGCCATTACAGGGAAGGAGATCATCATGAAGATGAAGCCAGACTCTTCACAGTGGTATGTGATAGGAGGACAAGGGACAACAGCAATAATTTGAAATGAGAAATTCCAATTGAATATGAGGAAGACTTATTTTCACCCTGAGATTAGTCAAGCCGTGGAACAGGCAGTCCAAAGAGCTGTGCAGTTCTGTGTCCTTGAAGATTTTTGAGCTCCAGCTGGGTAAAACTCTGGACAGTACGTTCTGAACTCATAGTTGACTCTCTGATCAGGAGGCCTCAGGACGTCTTGACATCCCTTCCAGTTGGGATTTTTCCACAGCTCGGTGTCTCCTGACTACCTCTGAATTTCTCACTCTTTGCTTTGGTGCATCACTTGACACATAGCATAGGCATGGTAACCTTCAGCTGTGCATAAGCAGTTAACCTGATTTGTTCCAAAAACATCACCTGTGTGCATGCGTAGTTCAGCTTTACCTGCGCAGTGTGTGCGCTCACACTTCATGAGAAAGGATGATCTGTTATTTGTTAACCAAGCCTAGAACTTCTCCTCCATCACAGCGACCATGCAGAGCTAGATAAATGAATTACCTTAGTGGGCTGGACATATAAGCTGTAGCTTGGGTGTGCCTGCTGTAAACCCTTGTGGAGGTTCAAGGTGTAGATACCTCCTTCAAGAAGATATTATTGCAATAGTTGTTCCTCCTTTGAATGCGATGAGGAGAATGCTTATACTTTTTCTGCTTTATACTTGTTGGGGATGTTTTTTTGTGTTTAAGGCATGTGGTGGAGGGGCCTGCTAACCCCCGGTGTAGAGGAGGCAGCAGTACTGCCACCTCATTTGCTCCCTCTCTTATCCTTTCCAATTCCATGCCCACATAAATTCTAGAAACAGACTGGTCCTAATAGTGCTAAAGAACTTAACAACAACAACTGCATTGGCTGAGTTATAGAGGGCACTGAGCTGAGTTCTGGTCCTGTTGTATCATTGCCTTGGGCATACACACGGCAGGCATAGTAATAAAAATCACTGACCTGCAGCCAAAGCACTATGGATTGTGATCTTCTCAAAGGCTGTATGACAAGTGCAGTTAACACTGTTCAGCATTTGGATGGGAGAACTCCCAGGGAAATAAAATATCTGTAGAACATTTTTATCTAGCAGTTTATGTTAGAAAAGGAGAAAAGTAAAAATGAAAGTAAGAAAGTAATAGCAAAGTGTAATGCCATACAGGTAATACTGATCTACTACAGCCTTTGATTTCAACCAAAAATGGGCCAAATCTTGAGAATTTAGGTAACTATCCATTTAACATATGTTTATGATATGATTTTCTCACAGTGGTGAACCTTACCAAAACTGTTGGAAGTGAGATTATGTTTCTCTAACTGAAGTTTTTCAATAGAATTGAAAAACCTGTTTTTGTGAAAATCCTTTTGTGAAAAAATTCATCCTTTTGCAAAAAGCTGAAACTGTCATATGTGGTTTTGAAGCTTTAAGCTGAAAATTTTGCTTCCTTACAAAAGTTCTTGTTTTCTGGCAAAGCTATATTTTTCTGAAAAGAAAAAAACTTTGAAAATCTAGCCTTTTAAAATGCAAATAACGAGCCAGTACTATTCCAATAACTTTCAAAAGCAGCCTAGGGAATTGGTTACTCTTAATATGCAGATGCAATGAAATAGAATGGAAGGAAATGACTTGCTGTTCTGTGATTATGCTCAGCAAGTATTGAATACAACCATAACTGAATGTGTAATTTATATTAGTGACTGTACTTCCATGCTTGCCTTCAAATGAAACTATAAAATTAGTATGCCAACTTCTGTCACTTATTCTTTCCTAGGAAGGGAAGGTATGGTCAAGCTACTATAGATGATGTTTATTTTTGGCTCATTTCATCATAAATGGAAAGACAGTGGTTAATTAATAGTAACATCTCAGTGGTTTTATTTAGAAGCCTGAATTCTGTTCCACTGTTAGAGCCATGCAACCTATGTTATCATGTCTGTAAACAGAATGCTTCCTCCTTAAAACAGACCGTGAGTTATTGCTCAGTATTCAGGGCTGTGATTTACAAAAGACAAACAGTAAAAGGAAGAGCTGAAAGTAGAAGCCATGATTATTTCCTGGCTCTTAATTGGGTGCATTTTTCTTTGAGTGAGTATGGTTAGGTCAAGAAAATGTAACTATGGCTATTGCAAACATAAGTCATTCAGAGTGCATGTGGACAAAAAGAAAGTCATGCCCAGCTTTTTCAGGTTTTCCTGGTGTGGAAATGTGGATGTCTTGATGCATATAGCAAGTGGACAGGAGCTCTGTCCCATGAGAGCATGTGGACGTTTCCATGAAATACAAGGCAAAGGGGCAGAGATTCTCAGAAAGCAAAATTCCCCTCTGAATTCCGGGCAGGCTTGCTTGAGAGGTTAATTTCCCTTTGTAAGGCTGGGACTTTGTTACAAGAATACTTGCAGAAAAAATGCTATCCTTTGTTAGTGTTGATTCTTTTTCAAGAACTCTTTTGGAAGTGCTGCCTTGTTTTCACACAAAAGAATGATCTACCTGAAGCAAAAAATGAAAACATGGGAAATTTTGCCCCCGAACGGCTAACACTTGGCAAAATTCTCATGGTTTCAGAATATATTAAAAGGAAGTATGCCAGGAAATCAGCATAAGCTTCGTCTGAATTTTAAATCTTTCTGTTTTTTGTTTTAATTTTATGTTTAGTTTTATTTGGTGTAGAAGCACATATATTTAGTGATTTTGAAGTTCCAGGTTACTTCAGCTTCCAAATTCATTGGAATTCAGGCCTAAATGTTTTTAATGCCTTTATTTCCTATGCTTCTGACTAAATAGTAATGCTACTGAGGATAAGAGTTAAATTTTATCAAGCTGACCTGACCTTTTAGAAGATGTCTTGTGCACAGGTGTGTGTGCTGTATTTGGAAACCTTCGTGATTAAAATCAATTCACTCAAAAAGCCCTCCTCCTCCCAGCTCATGATAATGCGAGATGAATATAAAGCTGGTATTAAGAATTGTTAAGTAAACATTAAAAATTATTATTTAATCACAATGTAAATTACTATGGCTTTTCTTCTTGACGTTTTCAGTGTATTGTTACAGTTCAAAGAAACTGTATTCGTATAACTGCAGAATGTTTCTGTTCACACAGAATAAAAAAATCTCTTTCTAATTGATTTTAGGGGTCCAACATCACAGATACTTGCACAGAAATGCTGAGAAGAGGACATATCCAAGAGCGGATATTTTTTCTTTTGGATAACCTTTTGGTTTACTGCAAAAAAAAGCACAGGTAAATGATTAATACATACTTTGAAAAATGATTTTCATTTTTCTCACAGTAGGGCTGATGTTTTGTATGCTTTTTATAAGAATATTGAAATGCCACTGAAGTGATTTTTGTGGTTAATTGCAATACAAACCTCAGCATTTTTAGACTGACACACAGAGAAAGGTCTATTTAATTCAAACTTTGTAAAATTCTGTTAGGTACAGAGAAATCCAATAATGATTTAGAGGTAAATGAAGGGAAACTCCACCATCTACCTCAGTGTCTTCATCTGCTGAAAGTTTTGCTTATAAATCCAGCTTCTCCTCACCACCATGTGAGTCTGATTGGTGAGGGTGATATAAAGCTTTCAAGAGTAGTTCTAAATTTGATAGCCAACTTTCAGCCCATTTTTCCAAATGTCTTTTATAAATATTTTGGATTGGCTGTGGCCTCCAGGTGAGCGGTGTGTTTGTTTGCATGTGCAGCAGCCATTTGTTTTGGTCACTGCTCTGGCTGGGCCACTGTCATGACTGTTAAAGGATGAATCCTGGCCCCTCTGCTTTTGAAGGCCTTACATGACAGGATGCTTATGCATAAAGGAGTGCAATGTTAAGAACAGACAGCTCATATGAGGGAGGGTAGTTGGGCATGCAATTCAGTAGCACCATCAAGTTGAAGAAAGACAGGCTGCCACAGTGCCGTATTGATTTTTATTCCTCCCTGTGTCCGGGAAGAAGTGGGAGCTACTTGTCCTCTCCTTGCTTCCTGTTCTGGGTGAGGGGAAGGAGGTGTGCGGGTTGGAAAACAGAGAGATATGAGCTCCTGTGCACGTATACTGCAGTCTAGGCGTTATGTGTATCTAAATATAACCAGTCGACAGAAATCTGTGAGTAAAATGTATTGACCTAAGGGAGTATTTTGTAACTGATGTTTTAAAGTTTATTGACAAGTCTTTTGAGTTGACATATTGGCTTAATTTTGTCAGGATGGCCTCTCTCTCTTTTTTTCTAGTCCTTGAAAGCTTTTTGAAAGGTATTACAAGTCTGTGTTAGCAAAATTGTAATTAATCTGTGATATTGTAACCTAGTTTTACCACAGTCTATACGGTGGCCGTGTAAATGGTCTGTGGTTCTTATAGTGATCTTTGAATCCTATGTGAACAGGAAGCACTGCAGAAATATAGCACAAGATGGTGACAGTCATCTGCTCTTTCTTTTATCAGGCGATTGAAGAACAGCAAGGCATCTACAGATGGCCATCGTTACCTTTTTCGGGGCAGGATAAACACAGAAGTGATGGAAGTTGAGAATGTGGATGATGGAACAGGTAAGTATATTTGTGCTGCTCATTTACAGAGCAGTCTTCCAAGGTGCTGAAATCGAATGCAAACAGCTTATGAATTCATGGAGAATGAAGACAACGCTGTGTATTTAGAAGGAAAGAATAAGCTGTCACTTTAAAAGAGCTCTTTTATCTCATCAACACTTTGTTATAGTGACACATCTTTGCTTTCATACACCATTAGCTGGGCAGTCACTGATGACTATTTTACACTAATACAATGGGTGACATTTATTGCTCAAAAGAAACTGTGTATTTAACTTCACTTTTAACGTTCAAGGTCTCCTAGATAGGTAATCCTTAGGTGTGTGAAGCATTTGTAATAGAGAAGGCAAAAGTTACCTTTTTATTTATTTAAATATTTATTTTGGAATCAATCATTATAAATGCTGGAATTGTAAAATAGGAGTTTAAGAAAAAAAATGTTTATTTTAAGTGCCTCCAGAGATATAATTCATATGATTGCTTGAAACTTCCTTGACATGCTTTAGAAAAGTGAATTCCCTAAATACCTCTGTAAATATCAATTTGAATTTGATAAACTTAAGTTTTTGGAAACTTGGCAAGGACTGCGCAGATTAAATAAGGTGTTTCAGGTCTTTAGAGGTGTTAGAAATATTTCATCAAAGTTAGATTATTCTTTTTTACTCTTGATTTCCCGGCTTTCAAAATTATTTGCTAACTTCTTATTCCCCTGATGGATTTGGAGAACAAGTTGACTGCTGTCCTCATTGCAACAAATGGATCTTTTAGGAGGCTCTTATGTTTCTCCTCAATCTCTTCTTTTTAATTCTGTCAACCTTTTCTCATGGGTCATGTATTCTAAATCTTTTACTACTTTTGTATCCTCTGACCCTTTTTTTTCCATTTGTTTGCATCTTTTGTCCAAAGCTGAGACCTGACTAGTACCAAATAGAACAGAATAATTAGCATCATTGTGCTGCATGTGAAATGTCTGTTACTAATCCCAGGATTACTTGACTTTTTCCAGAAAGTTATTTTTCAGTTTCTATTTAGTTTGTGGTGCAGGGTATCACACCAGATCCTTTTGTGCAGGACCAGTTATATCCTATACTCTGTTAATTCTCTGTGGATAGTTTTTGATTTTTTCTTACTAGTAATTACTTTTTTTTTTCCACACTGAATTTAATTTTGATGAAGACTAACCATTTCCATAATTTATTAAGAGTTCAAAACTCTTGTCTTGTGCCCTATGTCCTTGCAACCCTCTCACAAACTATGTACTTACAGCATCCTTTATGTTCTTGATAAAACTACTGGAAGGTGCTAGCTAGCTGTGAGAATTCCTTGATACATTCTTTATTTAGCAGTTTGTTTTTTTGTGACAACTCTTTGATGTCTTTTCAGAGCTGCTTGTCTTTCACAAGGCTCATTGATTTAGGTAGAAATTTAGAGATTTCTGTAGCTATTCTATAGTGAGTTTCATCAGACTTCCTTAAACTGAATATAATTTACCCAACAGTTCTATATGCTATTACTTCTCTTTTATAGCCTGTATTCCTACCTATTTGTTGGTTTTATTTGCGCTAGGCATGAAGATCAGTTTATATTTTGTGTATGAGCAGAAAAAGCAGATGTATTTCAGCCTATGTATGTCATCTGTTATTTAATTGCTGTCTCCCTTTTATTTTTGTACGTATTCCTTATAAATGCCTTAGAAATAAAAGGTACTTTTCCTGTTGCCATTTATATCACTCACTCGGGGGAACATATTTTTTGCCTTAGATTTTCTGAACTTTTCTCTACAGGCATATTGTCTTCTCTCAGTCTTGGCATTATGCATATGTATCTGTTTTTTTGTATGATTCATGTTTGATTTCCAATTATCTTTTCCAGTCTGTTTTGCACTATTCTGTGACTTCGAAAATTCTCTTTCAGGGCCACCAAGCAGCCTTCATAATGTGGCATTTTGTTATTCATAATTGTTGACACTGCTGTGGTCACAGAGGCTTGTAAGCCATCAATTTCTTCCTGATGAATATTCCCAGACTTTTAAAACTTTTTCTTTAACTAGCTCCAATTCCATGTATTTCCACCCTTTAAGTGAATTTTTCTTCCTTCCTCCTTCCATCTCTTTCCTCAAACTGTCATACCTTTCTTTCTTTATCATCTAACTTCCAGAAGGCAGCATGAACTGAAGGATAATATAGATGAAGATTTTTTTTCTAGCTGTCCAGTTCTTATCTCTTTCATATTGGCCATTTTCCTTCCTCTCCTTTAATTTTATTCTCTAATTATTCTTTGAATGTAATTTGGCTAAGCCTAAACCACCTCCCTCTCCATTTCAGATTTCCTTCAGCCTTAGAGGATGTTGTTACCTTCCCATTTTCTTTAGACTCACACACAATACTGAAGTGTTCTTCCTTCCTTCCCGTTTCCTCTCTTGAGCCATATCAAATCTTGTGACTTTTATATATGCCACATTTCTAAAATCCATCCTCCTTTCCACACATCTGAGAAAATAACCATTACTTTGCTTACTTTGTTGTGATTATTGCTATTTTATCCCTCCTTTCTCTCATTCTCTTTAAAATATAAAAATAACTGTCATTTCCCTAGTCTGAAATATCTTTCTGCTGCTTTTTTTCCTATTGCTTTCTTGCTTTCTCAGGCTCACTTGGGCTTGCTCAATTTCTTACTCACCTTCTCCCTCCCTCCTTCCCTTTTTCTTGCTTTTCCTGCTACTTTCCTTTCTTATGGTCACTCAGCATTGTTGCAGAAATGTGGTGCCATAGTCTTTGTTGCTAGTGAGTACAAACATAGACTTAGGAAAACTGGGATTGTTGTGCGGTTTGTGACTGTGCTTGTGACATGCCTCCAGAAATGAACAAAGCTTTTTCCAAAAAAGCATTTTTTTTCTGTGATGAAATTAGACATTGCCTAAGCAGTACAATTGGTGGAAGCTTTCTTTTTTGTTTCAACCTTGTGAAGTACTGTGGCTTTTTTGATTGTACTGATTAAAGTAGAATGTATATTACATACCAGAGCAGACTATTCGTGTTCTTAAACCAGAGTGGCTACTCCACCACTTAAAAGTCTTTAAAAATGTCTTTATAGCAATGCTGTTGTCCTGCTCTTTTTTCAATTTTTAAAATTCAATTTTGAGGGAGAAGTATGTAGCGTTCACCAGGCATTAAATGAATATTATTTAGTCTGTGAAGACAGCTACTTGAGATTTGGGAAATACCAGGTATATAGCTGCTTGTTTTGAAATGAGGCAAGCATGAAACAGAAGAAACACTGTGTGATAATAGTGGCTGGAGACCATACCAAAAAGTGTATGGAAGAGGAGGGGAAATGTGTTTAAGAACCTGTGGTCTAAGAAACTTAGAAAAATTCTCATATGGACTATCTTTTCTGTTTTATTTTTTAAAGGGTAAAAACAAATTTGGCTGTAAATGGCTGTAACAAATTCCTTGTCATGCATCTCCAAAGTGTTTGGATCCTGAATTTTGGACAGTATATCACACTTAAAATTACAGGCTTGAATGTATCAGCAAGTATCATTAGAGATGATCTCATATTTCTTCACCTTCCTTGAGAAGCTGGAGGCTTAATGATTTGTTAAGCTTATTACATGGAGCAACCTGAGCTCTCTCTCAGTTCTTCCTACTCTGACCATTATGTCGGGCTCACAAATCATCCATTTAGCCTGACTAGCAGCTGCGAGTGGCTGCCCACGAGGAGCTTCCTGTGCAGGTGGCCAGCCCAGACACGCACGGCTCCGCACTGGCCACACAGCTGCTCAGCTCCGCTTGTGTGCGCGTCTCAATCGGGTTTGTCCCGCTGACGCTCCAAAGATGGTGGATGGTGTACGGGACGCCAGTGAAATGCTGAAAATGCTGCTCAGAGGAAGACAGGGATGGATGGATAGATTGTGGAGGACACTATAGCTCATGAGAACCTTGCAGGATTGTAGTTATGGGGAACATAAGGAGCAAAAGAGAAAGGAAAGGTGAAGCTGGGTGTTGAGCTAAGCTGGGCCCTTGCAAAATGTAGACACCGCTACCAGTTGTCTTGCTCCTGAACTCACTGCAATGCCGACACGTAAGGTCTTAGCACCCAGCTAGTTGATTTGGCTCTTCAGCTCAGTGAGTTTGTAATGGCATGAGATAAATGCAGTCAACTGCCAGCACGTTGGGCTGTGCAGTTACATAACTTCAGATGCCAAAGACGCTAGATTTTCAAAGTGTCATCTGTGCACTGAAATGCCCAAGTGGCTGGATGAGCCAGTTGTTGTTAATTGAACTATCAAATTGAAATTAAAATTCTACTCAAAGTGAAATGTCTAAATCTAAATATCTTTGTAAACCTACGCCATAAAATTTGAATACTTCTTCCACTGCAGTTCTCTGTACTGTAGGTCATAGTATTTCCCTACCAGACAAGGGGGTTATGATGTTAGATGTAACTATTTCTGAGATGTGTGCCATGGCTATGGTAAAAAAAAAGCCACAGCAAAAATATCACCCCATTGTTTTCTGTGTATAACCTGTAACTTAGAATAAAAAGGCACTAGTAGTGCCATATTGCAAGGTTTATAAGGATCTCCTTAAATAACAGAAAGAGAACTTACCCCTTTTTCCTCCATTAACCCTCTTGTCTCTGATCTCCAAAAGGCTGTAAGCTGATAGATTCTCTTTGTGAATTTTTTATTTTGCTTGACTTTTGCCTCTGAATTTTCTGAGGATGGATGTTACATGATGAGGAGTTTTTAAGAAACAGTAGTTTTAAAGGGGAGAAGAATGCCCATGCATATCTTGAAGGATGTTATGCATAGTTTATAGGCATAAAAATATGTTAAGTAGGTAAGTGGTATAAATATGAAGTTGCAAAAATAAATTACTCCATTTTTGCTCGTTGTTCACTTTTTGCACGTTCTTATGCATTTTGAGTTCTAGTAGGTTGTGTTTGTTCAGAAATTAGCCACCCATCTCATGATTTTTTATTAGTGCCTGACATTTTCCAGGCTGAGTATGCAAAAATTGGCTGCTTTCCATCTAATTAAAATGCAGAGTTATTGAAAAGACACTAGTGTGTCTGCTGAGATTTATGATAAATCTTAGCAAGCATTTCAGCAAAGGTTTCGGTTTTGGAAAAATCCCATCTCATTATACAAAACTGGGCTGAATTATGAAAAAGGCTTTGAAAAGTATAAAGTTCTGAAATTACTGGAGGGGTAAGTTCAGGGCTGGCTCTGGGATTTTCTTGCCTCTTAATGAAAGTTAGTTATGAGAGAATGTTACTTTTGGTTTTCTTAGTGTTTTGTGCAAGAGTAGCTAGTTCTAGTTTTAATCTATATTTTATACAAAAATCGTATTTGTTATTATGGGACATTTGAGTCCTTGCAAATTTTCCTGAAGGAAATGCATGTCATCCTACTGAAGGATATTCATGTTATACAACGGGGTTAGCTTCAAGAAGAAAACTTGTTTAGCTGATTTTCAGTATGCTTCAGGGGCTAGCATGTTAAAAATCAAAATTTTCAAGATATGTAAACTAAGAGAAAGTAGTAAGTAATAAAATGACTGTTCTTTATAGCACAGAAGTTTATGTATTAAAGTCAGAATTTCAGTATATCTAAGAATATCAGCTCTTCCATAATATCTATGCTTAACATAGATTTGTTAGGAATAGTTTCAAAAACTGCATTTAATCTTTTAAACATAGTAAATTTTAAATTATATTTTACTTAGTTTAAACAAATGCATATCCAATTCTTTATTCCGATAACAAGTAATATGCATCAATTGCTTCTGATAAGCTTACTCTTAAATTGTATTATTCCCAGTGGTATTTATTCCTTTTTTAAAATTGATAGTAAATTGCTCAGATCAGCAAAGAAGATTTCCGTAGTTTAAAGGACAAAACCACAATACTGATTTTTAAGGAATTACTTAAAAAAAAACACACAAATTGCAGTATTTATCAGAGTGCTTTTGTCTGCATTACAGCTTATTAAGAGGACACTGCCTTTTTTAGCATCAAGTTCATACTTCCTTCCAGGTCTGCTTTTTTTTATAATGTACTAGATTTACTAAAAGTCCAAAGAATACTGCTCATTAAATTATTGAATAGTTCATAGTTGGGCTATATAGTAATTGCACAGATAATGGTTCAGCTTTAAACTCCTTTTGATCTTTTCTGTCGTAGGTAACTTTCAGGAAATGCAGGGTTTATAACAACTTTATTTTTATGTTAAGAGTCTGTGTTCTTCAAGCCATTTTATTTTGATTTTACCTTTTCCCAGCTGACTATCATAGCAGTGGCCATACTGTTGTTAATGGCTGGAAGATCCACAACACAGCAAAGAACAAATGGTTTGTATGCATGGCAAAAACCCCCGAAGAGAAGCAAGAATGGCTGGAAGCTATTCTGAAAGAACGAGAAAGGAGAAAAGGTATGTGAATAAACTTCTTTTCTCTTGCTGTGCCAGAGGTCTGTACTCTATTTTTATGTTGAGATGTTTACTTTAGTAAAACCAGCTGCCATGCAAACGTATGGCATCAGGGTCAACTGCAAGTTTATGAATACCAGTCTGAATGAAATAAACCAAACTCGTACTGGGAAAGACATAAGGACTTGAATCATGGATGTTAGCAGTTAATTTGATTTTGGAATCTGGGAGATGATGTGATCTGTTTTTGACAGCTTGTCCTCAGGCTCAGGTTTAAATAGTCATAACTCTACTGAAGCATGTGAACTGTTACAGTTTGTGGGATCTGTATGCAAGGGTGTCTTTTTGTGACTAGACACATTGCTGAAATGAGCAGGTTTTCTATGTTGGATCTTCACATAGATGATCTACCCCAGAATAAACCCATTTGATCTCTTCTCCTTCATCCAACAACAACAACAACAACAAAACAAAACAAAACAAAAACACTGGAAAGAAAACCTATCCATCTAAACATTTAGTGAGAGAATGCTAGGATGAAATATAATACTGATATCAAATGTGACAACGAATTACCTCATATGTTCAAGGTGAACCCATCACAAAACAGAGCCAGGGAAAGGTGACACATCATGACCATCTTCTAGAGCTAGTTTCAAGTATTCAGATCAATCATGATGTATGGGGCCTTGGTGTTGTCAGAAAATAGGACCCCACAGTTAGATCTGGGATTCTGTTGCGGGCCAGCATAGGTTTCTGGTGCTTGTTTATAAGCCATCACCTTTTCCCTCAGCTGTAACTTGGACACTATAGTACTTCCTTTCTTTCAGTTTGAATGATGGATGTTTACATAAAATCTGACCTAAAGACAGAGTTTCAAGTAGGGTATCTGAGCACTATCTAATCAATAGATCCATAATGAATAAGTAGAAGAAGAAAAGTTAAAAAAATGACGTAGGCCTCTAAGAACTCAACATTTTGGAGTAACAAATGAACATCAACTTGGTAGAGATGTGTCATGAACAACAAAAAACAAATCTGCTTCTGTTCAGAGTCTTGTGTGAAAATGTTTATAAAGATTTTTATCAAATCCCACTTTACCATTGTTAAGTTTCATGGTTTCCTTATCAAAGTAAAAACAGTAAGTACTTCATGTTTATGAAATATTATTATTTGATATTGTACGATTGAGAAGCTAGTAATAGAGGTGAGTTTGACCTAAGCCTTACAGGCTTAAAATCCTAGGATTTTAGCATCCTATATTTAGGGAACTTTTCAACTCTTGATGGAAGCAGTGGTTTTGCTACTGATGAGGCAACCAAGAGAGAAATAAGAACAGAATAGAGCATGAGAGAATTTGGCATTCACACAAACTGAGTTCCGACAGAAAATCTTTAAAGATATTTCTTGAGTATCTCTGTTGCTCTAGCAATATACAAATTTATCTTTTTCCTCCAGCTCAGAGATTTTTCAAAACATCTGTATAAACACCTCTTCTGAAGCAGGATGCATCACTTAATTGCAGGCAGGTTGCCAAAAGACGCAGGAACCAAACTGCTAACATCTTCGTATTCAAATATTGTATCTAAATGTAACTATAAACACTTCCCCGTTCACTGTGAGCATAAAGAAGCTTTAATTGCATGTTTACTTAGTAAGATGTGAAGTTCATGTATATGTATGCAATTACACTGATGTCTAAGTGGCTGCACATATAAGCGCAGCATCTTTTCTCCTTTTTAAGTCAGAGATTAACTAAATCCAATGTACACGCGTGTCAGATCTCTTGGGCAGGGAGTAGCTGCATTTGAAATACCAACTCTGACCACTATATAGATCATACTTTTTTGCAAGGGGCACTGAAGCTGAACTGGAAACTTTTTCTTAGAAACTGTTTCAGTGAGTTGCAGGACTTTCATGTAGCCACCTGAGACATTCAGTGAATTGTAAGTTTATTTAAAAGGAGATGATCTCCAAGTTTGATCATGCATTGCCTTTATACCCTCTTAAAAGAGACAATACAAATAAAAACATTGACATCCTAGGAGCACCAATAGCAGCATATTTATATTCTTTTCCTGGGAACAAATGATGTTCTATCTGTTTGTGCAGCATCAACACTATCAGGTTCATGCCTCATGAGAAACGCTTCCATATATGTGTTGATATTGTTGGTTATTACTATATATATGTTTTTTGCGCATGGCAATTCTGGCGATTCTTGCAGAATTAAAAAAAAGATGGACTATTACTCATATAAACGGTGTGCACTTATAATTCTAAAAATGTACAAGTCTGAAGAACTGCAAACTGCAAACTGCAAACATATGATATGTGCATAACACATTCCAGAACTGTATGTTTTTGTTCAGAATTAATAACTGTTCTTATAGAGAAAGCATGTGGGCTGCAAAGGTCTTGGTTACTCCTTGGGAGCATAAGTTCTGTGAGTTACCAATGACATGTAATTCCAGGAAAGCTGTTTTGATCATCAAGGATGTTCTTTGTTACTGAGAAGTAATATTTTCTCAAAAAGAGTAGCAGGAAAACATAAAATAGTAACAAATATCTACACTCAAAACCTTCAGAGCTTTTTGTTGCTGAAAAAATTTTGAAACAAATAGAAATCAAGATGTATATATGCATTTGTAGAAAAGGGGTAATCTTACGTAAAACAAAAAGTACATAATAGATAACTAGTTACTCTTCATTGAAATTTGGTAAATATTTCATGACAATCTCAATATTTTTATTGTCACATGGTAAAAATAGAAGTTTTCTTCTAAACTTGAGAAGGGATGATACCTTACTCCTATGTTTACATAATGAAGTCTGTGAAAATCACAGAATTAGTTTTTTTACTGTGATGTCAATGGTATTGTCAATATAGGTGTACTTCTGCAAGAACAACTTACCTTTAACATAAGGGTTTTTTATTATGTTTATATGAATATCAGTTTTTTAGTTGAATCTTGATCTGGAACAAAAATAATGGAAAATAATTACTTTTGTGTTTGCTTTTTTATATACAAAAACATGGAATTTACATCTTAGTTTTGTGCAATGTTTTGAAACAGAATGGCAAATAACTTCATAAAATCTGAATGTATCTTGGCAGGTTTAAAACTAGGCATGGAACAAGACACTTGGGTGATGATCTCTGAACAAGGAGAAAGACTTTACAAAATGATGTGCAAACAAGGGAATCTCATCAAAGACAGGAAGAGGAAACTAACCACTTTCCCCAAATGCTTTCTTGGAAGGTAGAATATGCATTTGATAGTATAAATTTCAACCAGCTGAAAACACATTTTAAATCTCCTTTGGCATTTTAAGGGAACCATTGTTTGTTTTCAATGTCTGTTAGGGCTATTTGTCTCTCATTCCAGAGTTTTGCCAAAATGTAATTAGGAAACATGTAAATGTTTCCCATTATGGACAGAATATTGGCCCTGTCTGTAATAAATAAAAATGGAAAGTGACCTTATGGTAGAAATAATTTTGTTAGGCAAAGTATTTTGTAGATTACTTACAAACTTAGGTACTTGAGTATCAAATATAAGGAGGTACTGGAAAGAAAAGGTAGTAGATGTGGTGATATGGCATTTATATATATATATATTTTTTTTCAGTGAATTTGTGTCCTGGTTACTGGAAATCGGAGAGATACACAAATCTGAAGAAGGTGTTCACCTTGGCCAAGCTTTATTAGAAAATGGCATTATCCATCATGGTAAATATGATTAGTTTTAACTTATTTATTTTCAATGTAATTGTTACAAATACAATGAATTTAATTTATTTTTCACGAAAAGATGATCTTGTTAGTTCAAGGCAGTTTGTTGCAGTATCCTTGTACAGACCTCATGGGGCAATTGCCAGGCCCTAGATTTCTGGGAGTGGTTCTGTTGGTTTAGTTGGGTTAGATCTGTGCTGCTGGGATCACAACACTGAAAACAGGGATCTAAAGTTGATATCCTGTTGTAAAGCAGAAATCACTTCTATGGGAACATAAAGAAGGGTAGACTGCTTTTAGGGATATAAGCCATCTTTTAGGCAAGGCTTCAACTAAGAATTGTAGAAGGGAGTGAACAACAAATGCTGCAGTTCCCTGTGGATGTACTTGATTATCTTCTAGGCATAACAACTGAAAGAAGCTGATGGAAACCAGCCTACATACCATAGTTTAATATTTCAAATTTTAATCCCCTATTTTCAGTAGATTACAGTGCTGTTAAAATTTGAATTTTCATGCTGAACTTTTCTCTTTTAATCATCTGGCTTGACTTCATTCTGGAGAGAACCGAAATGATAGCTTTTGAGTCAGTAAGAAGTGCTGATTTCTTGAGGTAATTTGCACTAATAGGATTTTTCATATCAAATCAGCCCCTCCTCTCTGTTCCTTTTACCAGTAAAGATGATACAAGAGAACTGGAGAAACTTCTGTTCTTGAAGATGTGTGGATTGCATTAAAGTGCAGTCGCTTATAAACAATTAGTGAAGTTAGATGCTGTTCCAGCATGAATCCAGAGTGTAAATTTAAGTGAAAACTGATAATTTACATTGCAATGCTTATGTACTTTGTCTCGTAGTAAATTCCGACTTACCTTGTAAAACTGATATAAAAATCTTCTAATGCTTCAGAAGCTGCTCAGATTCCTGAGCTGATTTGGGCATTGTTTTGGAATATAGAAAAGGTTTGAGGCTATTTTACAAAATTCGAAGTAAGATAATCTATTTGGGAGGCAGATGGTGGCTCTTTAACACCATGTTTTCAGTGTCCTTGGTTGGAAAGAAAATCGGAGTAACAGAGCACTGCTTAGCTTTATGCATTTTAAACATACACAGAGTAGGAGTAAACATATTAAAGATATTCATCTGCAGTCATGCAGTCTTTAATATTTTAATGCCAGTCTGTGTTATTTTCCTTCACCATCACTCAAATGTCAGATGCTATTAGGCTTGCTATACACATAGAATTGTTGTCAGTGGAATTATTTTGTTGCCAGAGATTCTTCTTCTGATCTCATAAATTATATCCCAAATACACTAATAGACTTTCTCAATGCAGAGTTATATGAATATTGTGTAATTTCATGAGATAAAAGGGTAATTATATTGGAGCATAGAAATATGAGCCAGACATGCTACTTTGAATAGTAGATCCAGCTGTGGTTTGGTGAAAATAGAATTCTTAAAATAAAGCTGAATGAACCATCTGTTTTCATGGAGGGAGCAAGGGAGAAAGAAAGTTTGGCTGATATTCACATTGCAAATGTTACAGAGGGCTTTGTTAGACTTTGCATATTGAATGTGCATGCCCTTCTTTTCACTGTGTTGGGCTTCACTCTAGCAAGGCCCAGACCCATATTGTGATGGGCACTGATTTACTTGCTGGTACATGAACTCCTGCAAGTGGAAAAGTTAAATTTTTTACCTTGTTTCTTTTTCCAGCTTTGCACGAAAGAAAAACCTGTTTGTAAAGAACTCATCTAAATTCATCTGTTGGCATTGTGTGTGATACCTGAAGAGACTTGCTGAGATAATCTATCTATGAGACAGTTTCAGGTTGTAGTTTTAAAAATGGATAAGCTAGTACAGCTGCTGAAGTAAACAGTCCTGATCCCTTTTATGGCTTTGCAGTTCCAGGGGTTGGAGTACTGATGGGAAATAAAATTACCCTGGCAAACAAAGTAAAAGTAAAAACTAACTTAAAGTGAGTTAGTTCCCTTTCCTTGCTGAGTGCCACATAAATACATGCTGCAATGCAAGGGAATGTGGATGCATGGGTGAGAGTGAGACAAAATTAAATAGTATTGCTCATTTTAGCTATGATAATAGGTTATCAAGTATTTGTGAAACTATGGCCCTAGGAATGTGCAGCTGATTCTAGATAACATAAAACTAGGACATAAAATGGCTGATTTTTTTCTTAAATCTTCTTCAGGAGTTGATGATCCATCTATCCATCCTCTTGAGCAAAACAAGCCAAATCATGTCTGTATTATAGAAAGCAAAATGCAAACAAAAATAAAGGTTGTTTTATGGTTTCATCCACAGCATCGCCTGAAGATATTTTGGTATTTTGCATCGCATACTCAAGTAGGAAGTCTCCTTGTCTGATTTCTTGCTTTCCAGAGCTCAAGATGTGCTGACTCTGTGAACCTATTCTTTAGTTTGGTGGACCATGTGTGAGTAGGGGAAATGCAACCCTTGCATTCTTCAGGGTTGTGTTCTGTGTTTTACAGGCATGCAAGGATGGAAAGGTGCTTTGTAGTCATGATTCCTTCCCTGTATTTCTCTGTAACAGTGAGGAACAGTTTGGCCTTAAGCAATAGAATTATGATGGTGATTTCTATTTCTAGTAGTCGCTGGTTTTAAAAAAATCTTTTAAGGTTGTTGATCCCAGCATTAGGAGAGTATTTTTAATTGCGAAACTAAAACTTTATTGCCCATGTAAACGGTCACAGTCCATTAAAATGCATTTGGATACTTACAGCAAGCGTTATAAGTGGAAATTTTGTAGGCTGTACTTGATGTTTTGGAAAGGCAATAATGTGCAAAAGAGCCTTGTGGTTATTGTGGCTGATCACCTCAGCATGTACTGCCAGTTCAAGGCAGTATCAAAAATTCAGGATAACATCCTTGGGTTTATTATTAGTAGATATATCAAATGCAAATATAGAAGTTATTTTGCTCTTGCACATGACCCTACTGAAACCACTCTCTATGTAAAGTCAGCTTTTATGTCCACACATTAGGTGCTATGTGGAGACAGTGAAGATCTTGAATGAGCATAAAAAATAATGCAGTGATTACAGGTGGCACCTTACTGTGCAAAGCTTTTGGCATTCAAGGTAATGTGGTGAAGAGAATAATGGCTGATATATCACTTGATATAGGAAGCACACTGGAAAAAATATATCTGCTATGGGCCTTGGTACTCTGCTCAACATAGCCATAATGATAGTCTATTATGAGAAATAGATGCCACATGCATGTGGTTTTGACTTAAAGTTATTGTTTTCAAGTAAAAGAATAATTGACACAAGATAGGTATCTTAGGGTGGTGCTAATGCCTGGTGCTGTCCTCAGTCTGCAGATGAAATCAGGGGGCTTTCCGAAGGACTTGCCTTAGCCCCATTTCTCGGAGTTTTCCATCATACGATGTGTCTGCTTTGGCCAAACAGCTGTGTGAGATTCTGTGAGCTTTTCTAAACTGGATTCACATGTTCAGATAATGTTCATCGTGGGTCTTTGGGGAAGTGGATTTCTGCATTGGCTTCAACATCTTCATAATGACTTCAAGTTCCTTATACTTAAGACTTTCAGCTGGCAATGTATTGAGGAAAACGTTCCCTCTCCGATCCCTGCCCCAGTGCATCATTGCTCCAATGTGTTGTGCAGTGCTTGAGTTTTTATTGGATGATTTGAGATGAGATGGGCCTCAGTAAGAGCTGGAACAGAGAGTTATGTGGAACAATAATGTGAATAGCTACAATTTCTTGTTGTGTTTTGCAAAAGATTTGGGATGGAGGTGAATATACCCAATGTAAAATGTATTTGATATATTTTCCTTTGTGAAGGAAAATCATTGGATGTATCTTCCTTAGTTTTCCAGGTTGTTCATTGCCTGGCTATCTGTCCTGTCTATGCCTGTGACATAAAATTGTTTGCATTCCTGCGGAATATGTGTAAGGACATAAAGGAACTTGCACCAAATGATCTATGACTGTTTCCTGCCCTCACTATCTGAAATTAATTACTACGCAGTGTTGTTGTTATAAGGAATTACTTGGGTCTTCTTTCTTTTTGATATTTTCAGAAAGATACCTTAACAATACATGATTATTTTTTCTTTAGTCACAGATAAGCACCAATTCAAACCTGAACACATGCTGTACAGATTCCGATATGATGATGGAACGTATTATCCAAGAAATGAGATGCAGGATGTGATTTCTAAGGTACAGAGGAGTTGCTATTATTAGTAAGGATGTATTAAAAATCTGCTTGAAAAATAATATAAAATATTACGGTAGGATAAGTAGCATCCCCTCACAGCTGCCTAGCTCTGTGTTTATGTGAATCAAAGTTAATTATCTATATCTAAGGTCAGATTTTGGCTTGTTGCTATGTATTTTAAATACAAAATTAAATGTATTTTAATTATTTAATCGTTTCATATGCAGGATGCATTGTCCATGTTTTTTCATTATAAAACTCACAGTTCGTTTATTCTTCAATCCATTTTAATATATAGAGGCATATATAGAAGTTTTTTTTTTCCCTGTAAATTAGAATGACTTTTATTAGTGACTTAATAAAGCATTAAATCGAGAACTGAATAGATATTGTAAAATACATGCTTATGTAATACAGTCCATCTCTTCACTGTAAGGATAAAAAAAAAGATTGAACAGAATAGCTTTTAAGCCTGTTGATAGTCAAACTTTCATGATTTTCAGAAGGAAAATATGACACCATTTGGATATTAAAATACAATGTCACTGATTTAGTCTCCTGGTATGCATATATGTGTATATCTATATATAATGCTAAGATATATCTAAGAGAACTCAATACTCAAGAATTCAATACTGAACTAGCAGGCAGAGCAATTTGAATCTATTTTGACAGAGTTTTCTATTGTTATCTGTGTTTTGTCATGCAGTTATAATTCTTTTTTGACAGTCTACTAGGGAAATATTAGGGAATATTAATTTTCAAAACACCATTTTTGATGGGGGCACCTTGCACTCTTCCAGATATTTTGCTTATTTTTGCCTTTTTAATAATTTTTAATTAAAAGTTCCACATCTTTAAATCATTTGGCATCTTCTACTTTTCTATTTTTTCTCTACTTTTTTTTTCCAAGTTTACTGACTTACTGTAATTTCAATTTGTAAGTAAGATGACTATGGATATAATTGAATGTTTCTGGATTTTTTTTAATTATTCATTTTGTTTGTAGAACAACAAGCAGTGATTGAGAAAACCTGAATGCATAGAATCATTGCTAAATCCTTCAAGTTTTGTGTACATTTATTTAAGATTACTATGTCTTCAAAATAATCTTTTAATACTATCTTAAAACTAATCTTTTTTTTCATATGTCTTAGTTAAGCTTGATTAGAAATGTTTGATCTCATCATTTATTCATGAATATTACTGTTACCTCAAAATTGTAAGTTTTGGCACCTGTGAAGATATATGCTTTCCAATAGATTTAAGTAAAATGCATTTAGAACAGTTAGGCTCCCTTACTGTGTCCATTCCTTACATGTAAAAGTGTAATTAACTTCATCTTTCTCTTTGACAGGGTGTACGTTTGTACTGTCGCCTTCACAGCCTGTTTAACCCAGTAATTAGGTGAGCCCAATTGGGAAATCCTCCATGACTCATTCAAGAGAGATGCATATTCTGTAGATACTGTGTTTGAACATAGGAACCAACCCAGGCTTTTGTATTAGTCTCTTGGGAAGAATCAAACAAGATTGAAGGGCTATCAAGAGAAGCAGCATAGCTGCATCATAAAACAAATACAGGCTCAGTTGAATATGACCTTTTTTTTCAAACTTTTAGAACCTTATAGGTCCTCATTGATATGCTTGGATGCCTACTGTATGTATTAACATACCCATTTCTATACACTCCATTCTGTCGTTTGGAGAGTCTCAGCTGTGACAAGATAGCTCCCTTTTTCTCCACCTTTATGCTCCAGTGAGAATATTGCCCAAGTAAGGGGTGGGCATCCTCCTCTTTCCCATCTGTAGCATAAGGTTTCACTTACAAAAAGCTTAATTCATGCTTGTACCAACTCGTATATAAAATACAAGTTTTCTTTTGTACTCTTTTAAGGGTTCGTTTTGTTTTGTTTTGAACAGGGATAAGGATTATCATCTGAGAACCTACAAATCTGTTGTCATGGCTAACAAACTCATAGACTGGCTGATTGCACAGGCAAGTGTACACTTTTGGATTTGTGCAATTATTTAAATTTTGGTAGGGAAGATAGTGTTGTATTAAGTGGAGTAACATGCAAATATTTTGTCTAAGAAAGAGTTCTAATTATTGGAACAGTGAGTGTAAATGTAATCCTCTTAAAAGAGGAAATAACAGAAACCAGCCAAACAGCCATCAGCAGCTGTGCTGTTCATCCCTCTTATGCTTCTCTTTTTTATTTGCTGTTGAACTTTAAATGTTTTAATGAGACTTAGGTTTGTGATTCAGTATGTAACACTGTTCATGATTTTAGTTGAAATGGATAGAGTCTGAGATCTCAAAATTACTCACTGCTTGGATAAAAATAGTATCAATTTGCTGTATCAGTTTAATTTTAAGCAAGCTAGAAATGAGGATGGGTATAGCCTGGTCACTACAACAAGATATACCAGTTTTAAATTTGATACCTTTTTAGATTCTGTTATGTTCAGTTTTTGTAGAGAATGCAATGTTACTGAATGTTTTACTATTCTATTTGTAACTGTAAAGAGGTATATTACTGTATATGCATATAACCCCCCCATATATGCCTGTGTGTGTATATATGTATGCACGCACACATACTGTATTATATATACCCTATAAATATTACATATAAAGGTGGCAATGGTTAGTATAACCTACAGATGTGCCTTTGCTTTGAGGTTATGCCAGATTGTATAGAAGCATTTTCCTCTGTTAAAATCTGAACCAAAGCCATGCTGTGGTTTAACAGGGGGATTGCCGGACCAGGGAGGAAGCCATGATCCTTGGTGTAGCTCTTTGTGACAATGGATTTATGCACCATGGTAAGTAAGTACATTATGTCCAAGATAATGCTTGCTTTTTGTTTAACACCATCTGCTTAGTAGGAAGGAAATGGAGAGGCTGCTAAAGATATTACCGAAGGGATAGGAAGTAAGTAGTTCTATTGCATTTCTGAAGAGACCTATGCGTTAAGTTTCAAGAAAACAAAAACCTATTGTATATTTGAAAATCATTTTAAGTCAGTTTTATAATAGATAATGAGGGTTTCATTCTTGGAATGATTCAGGGGAGAATTTTTATTAGCTACTTAGTGAAAGAAAATTTTTAAGCAGGTGTACCTGTTCACAGAGATGACAGAGAAAATAAAAATGGAGGTGTAGGAAAATTGAGCATGTGGGAACTAATGCTAATGGCAGAAAAGTAGTAGAAGATGTTTAAAGTGATTTCTTAAGAGGGAAAAAAAGAAGAGCCATTTTTGGAAGTATGAATGAAAATACAGAAAAACATGACTTGAAATTGTGAAGCTGTGATAGCAGGAGAAAGTGGACTGTAGAAAAGTGGGAAAATCAGGAGGATATCAGAGAACAAAGGGGATTTCAGAGAAAAGGGAGAGAGCCAGGATGTGTGCAGAACTGAAAATAAGAACAGGACTGAATTTAATGCCATCAGAGGCAAGATTTCAATGTAAGGTTTGAAGTGGCAGGTTATTCAGGTTATTCACTAAAGTAGAAGGAGGAAAGAGGGAGAATAACTGCCCCTCAGAGATGCTTGTTCTTTTTCCTTTTGTTTTTAAACATAACAACTGCATCCATCTGCTGTTCTAGTTGCTTCCCCATCCCCAGTAAACCCATTTCTAATAATGATGCTGGCATGCTCACCCCCTGGAGAGTGCCAGAGTGTGGTGGTGAGCAGTGATCTGCAGCAGCTGTCCAGCAGAACCTTCCAAGCTCATGTTTGTAAATCCCTTTTAGGAGAGAGCTTTGGGCCAGACATTTTCACTAAAACCTTTCCAGACAAATATGTCCTCCTCACTCTGCTGACGCCACATGTTGTACTTGAAAATGAACTCAGTGAAAGCTCACTGTAATGGATCCAAACAAAAACCAAACAATTTCTATTAGAAATTAAAATCTGTGTAGACTGACGCACAAAATAGGTTGCTAACATTTGATAAATATGCACGTGTGCAGTATTTTATGGTCCTCAAGAGATATTGATATTGAAGAATTCCCCCCTAAAGAAACGATGTCTGTGTTTCTTGTGTCATACAGTGTTAGAAAAAAGTGAATTTAAAGATGAACCACTGCTGTTCCGATTTTTTGCGGATGAAGAAATGGAAGGATCAAACATGAAGCACAGGCTCATGAAACATGATTTAAAAGTTGTGGAAAATGTAATAGCCAAGTCATTACTGGTAAGTTGGTAAACTGAATGATCATATGTTTTGATGATTAGTAAATTCATTATAGTGACAAAAAATGGAGTTATAGTTTAACTCTTTTTAACCACTTTCTGAACAATATTTTAAACTTTCTTTTCAGATTAAATCTAATGAAGGCACCTATGGTTTTGTTTTAGAAGATAAAAATAAAGTACCAATTATTAAAGTGGTGGAGAAAGGATCAAATGCTGAGGTATCAAATATTATAAATTATTTTCCATGTTTTACTAAATTGTACACTAAGTTGTAAATTTTCTGCAACATTCAGGAAAAAAACTAATCATACACAATAGTACAGTAGTTTGAAAACTTTCCAAGAAAGCTCTAGTTAAAAACTTTTCAAATCATTTTGCTTAAAACAAAACTGTGACCATTATTAATACTCATTTTACTTTCAGGTAATTTGCTGTATTGAGAGTAATAGTATAAGTTAAATTTTATTATTTTGATGCATTTCATAATATTTCAGTGAGAGTTCATTAAATGAACACGAAACAAGTATGCTACTCTTTAAATGTGTATATCATTTGTTTCACAGTAAAGGCTGAGCTAAGGTTTAATGATTTTTATTTGCAATTGTATAAAGGCTAGAATTTCGGAACGTGAATGAAGAAAGTACAGACTTTCAGTTTGTTAGTGATTTTTGATGTTCGGTGAAGTAAATTCCCACTCCTATCACAAAAATGTATGAGTCTCTACACATGCAAAGATAAAAAAAAAAGAGTATGTCTCTTGTAAAAGAGAAAAAAATATTAGACCTGGATTTAAAGTCCTTGTAGATCTCCTGATGGGATAGTAATGATGATAAAAATAGACACAGCAAAGCAATAATGTAATACAGCTACAGAGCTATATCCGGGAGGAGTTGGCTCTGTGAGCTTGGTGTAATTCCATGCTGTCTTTTTCTACAGTCAGACTCTGTCATGATCCCAAAGTTCATGCACGTGCTTAGCGTGTGCCTTGAGCAGCACCCTGGATCCGGGCACCCTCGCTGCATATGGTTTCTTTCTTGTTAAAGCAGAGTTTATAGATGGTCTGTGATCTGACATGCTGTACTTTGGCTCACAGACAAGCCCACAAAACCTTTAAGGATCTTGTTCAGTTTGGAACTTAATAAATATTCATTTAGTAAATTATTCATTAAGTCCATCTGTTTGCAATAAGTTTTAGTTCCTTTGGAGAATGACAGGTGGGCTGCTTAGATAAGGTAATAAAAAAAAATCAAAACAACTAGCTCAGTCAAAGCTGGTGTGTTAATTATTGTAAGTATTAACTGTCACTATAGTGGGCATAAAACCTTGATTAAGATTCGAACTCACTTTGGTCTCCTCGTGTTAGAGTTTACAGTACGCTCTGTATCAAAATAACTAATTCTACAACTATTTTTTGTTGTTAGCCTTCTGTGCACTTTGTGTGAAGAAGGCATAAAGAATGTAAAGAAGATGTATTTGTTGTTAGTCCTATTGGGGTTGCATGCAAGCAGAAGAAAATATAATGTTGTTGATTATAAGGAACAAGCATATAAGCAACTGTTATTTATTTTCTAGATGTCAGGCTTGGAAGTTGGGAGAAAAATCTTTGCTATTAATGGTGACCTGGTCTTTCTGCGACCCTTCAGTGAAGTGGACTGCCTCCTGAAAGCATGTTTGAACAGCAGGAAACCCCTTCGGGTTCTCGTGAGCACTAAACCACGGGAGTAAGTTGTCATACCGCTGGGGGATTTTAAAAGCTACAACCAAAGTGCATTTTATAAGACAAGAGAAACTTTAAACAGCACTACCGTGGGCTTATTATAAATGTTGGAAATGAAATGCTTATTATTACTGAGATGTTATTTAGTTCTTTTCAATGCTCTTTACAAAGTTATCTGATCAAGTAAAATAGTAACATGGAAAAATAAAAGGATAGATAGAGAATTGAAGCACGAAGTCTTGTATCTAATCTTACTTTGCTAAAGCCAAGTGAACTGACCTGCTTGGGTTTTATTTTATTGCATTTGTCAGTCAGGAAAAGCAGAACAGCAGGGCTTTAGATCTTTAGTTCTTCCACTTCAAGTACATACAGAAACTGCAAATATAAATGAGGTTTCTTTGATGGGCAGCTTTTATCACTTATCTGATACTCTGTTTATAAAACAAATTCCTCTGTCTGGGGATTAGTTCCTGGTTTGGCAGAAGTTAGACTTCATGATCTCATGGGCCTCTTCCGTGTCTGTGCTGGTCATATAAACAGGAGTAACAAGTAAACAACTTTGCATCTTTACGTAAGGGAGGCATTTCTGTGCGGAGGTTTGACCCTTGCTACCTCAACGCAATTCGTCTAATGGAAAAGAAACATGAAGTGAGGCCTGATCTCCGAATTCAGTAGATGTTCAAATGAGCCTGAGTCTATTGAAGTGAATGCGGTTCTCACTGGTTTGCGCACGCACCACAGAAAGAGGAGAACAAGCTGCAGCAGTCAGGAGAAATTTTGGTCAGATTTCACAGAATAGGGAGGAACCCATCTCCTGCTACCAGGTAGCACATGCAGACTGCCTTGAGGATGGCTTTGGTTAAGAAATATAATATTAATGTATTTCTCCTTTAATAAGAGCATTTTAGGAAATATACCTTGAGAAATACAGCCCTGCCTGGAATAAGGCAAAGAGCAGAGAGGGAAATAAGGCCTAAAATTGATCATCTGGATTGATGATCTATTACTACTACTACTACTACTACTGCTACTGCTACTCCTTAAAAAGAAGGCGCACGCACACACGCAGGCATTCACATGCAAACAGAAGGTGCTGGAGCAAGCGTACAAGGCATAACATGGCTTTTCTTTTGTGTAGATTTTGGTTTCCTTTCTGACACAACTCACCACTGAAAATGTGTGTGAATCTCCAGGCTGACAGAGAAGATCTAGTGAATGTTGCCTGAGAAATTTAAGAGTTTATTCTCCGTACTGTCTGCTGGAAGCTGCTACTAGCACAGTTGTGTGGGCAGAAGAGACAGTTTTCCCATTGTGAATTCTTATTTTAAATTGCTGGTGCTGGTCTTTGATGGTTAACTCATTAGCATGTTCAGAAAGAATTTTCAGAATGAAACTATCAGGATTGTATTAATTTTAGCTAATATACAATACATATATTAAAAAATCAATATTTTTTGAAATATTTCAAATGGAAATTTGTTAATTTTAAGAACATCTAAAAGTTTTTAAAGATTTAGAGGCTCCAGTGAGATTTAGATCCCATCTAGTCTTGTAATAGCATCTAAATGCAAAACATTATGTATACTAGGAAAAAAATAGAAGTACAAAAAGTAGTGCAGTGATATTATTTAAAACTGTAAATCAAACCTACTACAGAATTCTTCAAATCTACTTTAAAATTGCTTTTCAGCATCAATTTGAATTTGTCTGATTTTGCAGTGGCAAATGGAGCCAGTGAAAGGCTGCACAGTTAAATCAGAGCACTACCTGCATGACCTACCTAGCTCTCATAAGGAGTAATGCAACTGTGCCACTTTTCTGCAGCCTCAGCTGGTATCATATCGGTAGCCTGAGTGTATTTCAGGTTAGCTCAGGGTTACTCTTCCACATGAAGAGTAGATGTAAATCCTGATTTTTGTAACTCTGTTTTTGTTAAGGTTATGTATGTCAGTAGCTTTATTAGTGTCTCACCTAAGAGAACATACGGACGTAATGCAATGTGTCTACATGCTATATAAACAGTATTAGGTAATCCTTTCTTTGAAAAAATCAGGGGCTTGTATAGCGTCTCGGATAAACTCCAACAAAACATGTTTTCAGTAAAAGCTGCCAATTAGAAATTTAGATATTAACAAAATTCTAATAGAAATCTAGACTCCATAACCTTCGGTAGCTCCTGCGAGCTGATGTTTTGCATCATCTTGGGTCTTAAGGCTCTGTGCACTTGTCTGATTGACTGCCTGCCTTCTCTGAACTTTCAGGTTGTTATTCTATGGCATCCTAACCACAGCTGCACATCTCTTTTGGGGAGAGATTTTTAAACTGTCGTGCTTTGGCTTTAATCAGCATATTGAAATTCTGCAGGAATTTTTATTGCCTTTCTCTGATTGCTTTCAATGTTGTACCTTGCTCACATTTCTGATTAAAGTGCTGCAAAATAACTGCAATGCACATGGTGCTTAATCTGAGATTGTAAATTGGCTGAAAGCATAAGAATTTTATACCCCTGAGCATAAGTATTTTATACCCCTTCTCATTGTAACCTTCTAATTACAGTCCATTTTTATGATAAATAACAAAATGCCACTTTTTTTTTTCTTTATTTGCACATTCTTTGCTCTTTTTTTCAGGACAGTGAAGATTCCTGACTCTGCAGATGGACTTGGATTTCAAATCCGGGGCTTTGGTCCATCAGTTGTCCATGCTGTTGGGAGAGGTAAGGCATAAGAGCTACAAAATGGATGTGTTTAATATCTTAATGGCCTGGCCCAGATAAATCAGTGTTTCATCTTAGATGATCTTTTTCAGTTTCACAGACAATATGAGATAAAAACCACAAGATTGTTTCATGCTACTTTATGTTTTACTCTTTAGATAGATGTTTCTGAAATTTGCCATGTTTATTTCTGTATATATTTCTATGAATGCATATACTTAACTAAGTTAAATAAGGTCATGTCGTGACCTTAACAGATTGAGAAAACAGTTCATGGATGCAAAATTAACTTCTTCAGGGACTGGATGTTGGGATCTGCTTCCTGACAGCTAATTTGTTAAGCCACCAGGTGGTTCTGCAATCTTCTGAAAATGTGCTACAGAAAACATACTTTTATCAAATCTTTTCAAGGATGCTAGTGACTTACCCTGTCTTAATAATTGCAGAAGTTTGCTCTAAATACTATATTTGCTGTGTTTTGTGTTACCACTATCAAACACTTGCCTTCAACAACTGAGTATGTTCTGGATTACTGTATCAGCAAAAGAATTTGAAGTGTCCTTTGCTGCTGTTGTATGGTGTTGATGGTAGTGTCACCTCAATCTGTATTCTCAGCCACTGTGGGACAGTTTATTTCCCACCCCCTTTGTAACTGAGGGACTTAAAGTGATGATCTGCAAAGTAGCCAGATTTGGACAGAACTAGATTTTTTTTTTAAGGTGTGGTGCCAGAAATTAGATTTTCAGGAGGAGAAAGTCTAACAAGCCGTAGACTGTTGAGCCAATGAGATAATTATTTCCACACCTGGGTCTCAATTTATCTGCCTGTCCTTGTTCATTAAGCACATATTTTATTCCCATTAATCTCAATAAGATGTAAGTGCTTGCTTGTGTGGTTTGCTAAGCCTGAAAGATTTTAAGCATATGCTTAGAATGTGTGTACTTACACATATATGCTTAACATTTTTTGCTGAATTGGGACTTTGGGGTTTTTTTTGAATTCTAAATAATATTTCTGCTGTTTTGAGAGATTTTTTAAAAGGCCTATATTAATTTATATTTTTAAATCGACTTTGATGGGAGCAGAGAGAGGGGAATTTGTAATAACTGATAATGGTGCAATTTCCAAAGACTTTCTTTGGTATTAAATGCAACTATCATCTGTTGTTGCTCTGTTTTTTTTTTTTTTTTTTTTCCCAAACAAAAGGAAAAACTGATAATAACTAAAATGAGGGAGCCCAGAGCCCAGATCTCCTTATTCAGTTATTGTCTTGTCAAATTAACCTGACAAATCATAACATGGCTTTTCTATTTCTCAGCCTTGCAAATTCTGTTTTGCCTTTTCTTTTGTAATAGCAAGCTTCTGTACCTAACCTTGCAGGAAGGAAGAGTAAATATTTTCAAAGTGTTTTACCAACAAAGACAAGAAGATCTGAGTGCTCAGTAGGATGGCAGGTCATACTCCAGCGGGCTGTCCTTCCAGAGGGCAGCTTGAGTCATGCTGGAAGGACTTGGAAGCAGCTGCTTATAGCAGTCTTTCTGTGGATTAAAAAAAAAATCCTTAAATAGTTATTTGATGGTGAAAATAAATCACTGGACCAAATATTTATGTGATTCAAGGAGTATTTTTATTTCTTTGTTCAAAATTATTAAAGTTAATAAAGTCTCCTACTATCTGTTTAATTTAAATTAGGCAATTTCTTTTATAAATGAATTGGTAAAGAGATTAAAATAAGGATAGGCTACATGGAAATATCCTTAGATTTGGATTTGTCCCTTATTGTTTAGCAAGAATTTCTAGTGTGCGCTAATACTTCTTTTAATTATAAACCAGTCACCAGAAAGCTTGTGTTTTATATGCCTGGCAGTCAAAGAGCCCATAGGCTTAAGTACATAACAGAATTTAGAAAAAAAAAAAAAAGTTGTCTAGGTTATGACTTAGACCTAGCTTGGTTTCAAGCTAGAACATTTTAATCTTTTATAATCCTTGTAGGCAGATTTTCCACATTTACATATTGGCAATCAACTTTTGCTTTATCAAATAGTCTTTAGAATAATTATCCAATCTCTGCATGGAATCATCTGCTACAGAACATGATATCTTTGCAGAGTCCAGCTGACTTCAGAAGCTATTTCTAGGAGTCACAGACAGTGGAACTCCAGGAGAACTAGTCACAGCAGATGTTCGTATAAGATGAGGCTCTTGGGCTGTAAGCTTTAAGGGAGATGTTTAGAAAAATAAATCTGTCAACTCTTGCCTTTTTTTTTTTTTTCTAGGAACAGTAGCAGCTGCAGCAGGTCTCCACCCTGGCCAGTGCATAATCAAAGTCAATGGAATTAACGTCAGCAAAGAGACTCATGCAAGTGTTATTGCTCACGTCACAGCGTGCAGGAAATACAGGCGCCCCATGCAGGTATCTTTTACTTGGTTTACTTGCAGTTTTTCTGACTTAATATTTTTTCTCGAATGTTCTCTACAGCTAAAGCCAACAGTGTGGTGTACATCTCCGTCTGCATGTCTGTTGTGTTTGAGGGTCATGAGGGAAAAGCTAGCCAATTAAACTACAAAGAATGAGTATTGATCAATATATTGCTGTTCAAGGTTGTTTGACATCAACATTAAAAAATCTAAGCTTATGGCTAAAATTTTTCTCATATTGCATTCTAAAGGATTATTTTGAGTGTTTCTACAGTCCTGTGCAGAAAGCACTGCCAGGTATCTTCTCATCTTGATGGAGGGGGTTTACGCAGCTCACTGCCTGTCATCTTCAAGAGAATGTATTGCAAAAAACTGATCAGCTTTTAGAATTTTATAACACTTCAGCACATTGAGAGCAAAGTGCATATACTGTAAAAGTCTGAGTATGAGTAAAAGTCTCATTGTGTTCCTGTTACATTCCAATCTTTGGAAACTCAAGGATAATACTTCAACAGTTCAAGGACTCTGAATTTATCTTTTTTTAATATAAGTATGCAAGTTCTGTATTGCTTTTTTCACTTTCAGTCTACAATAAAAAACCTGTGACTTCCAAGACAGAAAAGATAAGAAAGAAAATCAAAACCAGGAGGATTCCATAATGTATTTTTTTCAAGTTTCTGAAAATTTTTCATAAACTGTGAACCAGCATCATTAATGAACTTCACAAAGTTTTCCAGTGTCTGTTAATTGAGAAGAAAAATCCAATTAAAGTCAAATGTGAAATCAGCCTCCTTTACCTACTGAACTGATGTGAGATAAGCATGGTAAATAGGAATTTGTTTGAACTACATCTTGCCAATAAGAGATTCGTGAAAATTCTGTCTGGATTTTTTTAAAAACTATAACATAGAACTGAAGTTATTACCTAACAGATCAAGACAGAGCTCACCTATTCTTTAAAGGGAGGTGTGCTGTGCTAAAGGGAGGGTGCTTTGCCTAAAGATACGAAAACCGTCTAGAACACCACATGTGTTTTAACTGTTGTACAGTTGTGGAGTTGCTAAAGAGGTCAGTGGCATCCAAAAAACAATGACTGGCTAGCACGTGCTGGCTAGCGACTGGCTAGCCTTCACATGTCAAATTGCTCTGTATGGTTTTTCTTCCATTTGTGTGATATATTGGAATATTTATGCTATTTTTTCCTATGCTGAGTGTTTCTTTCAATAAGAAAAGGAGCTGATTAGGTTCAGCTCATTCCAAATAAATAAAATCCTCCAAATTGATAAGAATTTCTAAGAAAACTTTAATCTAAAATGTAATACTATCAAGTGATATGCAAAAATTCCTGTCTAGAGTAAAATAAATGGCAGTATTCCCACTGGTGTTATGATGTATAGAATTTCATTTCCTATTCAGAAAATTTGGATTTTAATTATTTAGAAAATGACTATGAATTTATCTTATTTTTTAATAAGAATACACCAATCTCTCCTGAGCTCTGCCATTGCGTAGATGAAAGGGCATACTCCGCTTCACAGTGTGAGGAATCTGCTTGAGTGCCTGGAGTACGAAGCTTCATTTCAGATTCATACTGCTAGAGTGTGAATATACTGTATTGTTACCCTCTCTTGGAAAGTGTTTATATTCCTTCTGTCTTGTCTGGAGGAACAAAATCTAAAGCAGGTTTTGCTCCATGACATTACACCCTATTTCCTTCCGGTGGTACTAATGAAGCTGCTACCGATTTATGCTTAGTTTATGGGCTTTGTGTGATACTTTTGGAGAACATCACTGCAGATTATATTGCATTGTATCTTGTATTAACTGTTGAAACAGTGATTTCTGGTTTAACTTGAAGCTAGGCCTTGTTTTAGGCCCTGTTAAATGTGAATCAAGAAGCAAATTTAACCTTTTTATTTGTCAATCCAAGGAAGGAGTCCTTTCACACATTCCAAATTTGTTAGATAGTAATGCTTAATGCTGCCCACATGCATAACAAATCTGTATAAGACTCCATAGATAAGCTGCAAAGGGGTGGGATTCAGAGTCATTTCTGCTAATTGGCTTGTGCACAGGTAAGTTCCATCAATCCTCAGAGAACTCTGCAAGTTAAGGTCTTTTCCATTGCCCTTGAGTGAAAAATAAGGCATATTTGAACTGAGGAAACCTAGAGAGAAATTACATCTCAAAACAAGAAAGAATTTAAACTTCTCTTAGATTCTTAAGTTAAAATTAATGGCTAAATATTGTACACTAGCATAACATAATACGATGTACTTGGCATCTTGCATGAAAATCACAACATCCAGCTTACGTTTTTGTCATCCTTGCTTAACTTTGAATTCTGTTCCACAAACCTATTTTTAAAAGCTATGGTTTCAGAATAGGCATAATGGAGCCATTTATTCTGCTGTAGTTACTGGAGAGGGAATCAATAGTTGACCAGCACACTTCTTGTGAAGTGTATTCGGTATGACATATTTGATAGGCCCTGTACTGTACTTGTACATATATACACACACTATACTATATACATATACGAACATAGGCTTCTACATATATATACGTATAATATGTAAGCATCTGATTGCCCCTCTTCCATAGCGATAAAGATCAAATGTTATGAAAAAAGCAGGTATTTTAGGTAGTCTTGTCTGGAACCAGACACTTTTGTGAAGCAGCTCCACAGTTCCTGTTGCACTGCTGGTGTGTGAGCAGCCATGGCTAAACGTGCAGCTGGTGAGCTAGACGTAGGCAGCCAGGCTGCTTCATGCAGCCCTGTGCCCTGAGGGCTGCTCAGACAGGAGCATATGTCTCCAGCGAGCTGGGAGCGTGACTTGATGTGGACCATGTGAGGGTGAGCGTTTCTCTGATCCTGAAAGCAAGCGAGCGTATCAGGTTACCCTGTGGGGATTAGATGCCCATCTGGTTATTTGACGAGGATGCTAAGGATGCCTCATGAATGGTGTACATGTGATGGGCAGATGTGTAAATAAGGGTAAGGGGAGAAAGAATATTACGTGAGGTTGCCGTTTGTAGGCCTTTTGTAGGCCATTTCACCAAGCTGCCATTCCTGGGCTCATGAGTAACTTGGTCACATAAGATGTTGGACTCTGCAACCTCAGAAAGGCATTCTGTCCTTTTTGGTTTTTTTTTTTTGTTTTTTTTTTTTGTTTTTTTTTTTTTGCTAAGATGAGGAAGAAAATAAAGCAGAACTAATAAAATAACTGTTATAAAGGCAAATACAAGTAGTCAGGGTTGCAGTGTATATTCTTCTTGCTGATAACAAGTGGGTGAGTAGGTTAAGTAGATCTACCTTTGGTTGGTTATTCCATGATCTATGCTAGCCCTGTGCACATGCAGCAAATTTATTGAAGGAAAAACTGTTTCTCTCTCTCTCTTTTTTTTTTTAAAAAAAAACTATTTTCTGTTTCCTTTTTTTTTCTTTTTTGATATGTAATTTGGTTTAGAAATGTCTTAAGTTATTTTTGCCTGAGACATAAAAGTGATACAAGCCACGTTGACAGGGATTTCATACTGCTTCATGACAGTATATGCTGAAATAAAAAAGTAAATTGGTTAAATGCATCAGATGGCTTTAGATAAAGACAGACTTTTCTGTTATTTTCAAAGTGTTATTGACATAAAATTCAGAAAAGCTCATTAAAGCTCATAACACTTAGGGAATTAAAGTTACTATTCCATGTTTAAAAGCAGCAAAAAAAGCCCTAGATTGCACTTAACAAAGTTTTTCTTTTTTTTTGTTTTTTATTCTTTAGCAAGATTCTATACAGTGGGTTTACAACAGTATTGAGAGTGCTCAGGAAGATCTTCAGAAAACGAATACTAAGCCGTCTGGAGATGACGGAGGAGATGCCTTTGACTGCAAAGTGGAAGGTATGTGCAGCTTGTTTTTATTTTGTTGTTGCTCAGAATGTTGGTATACTAGCAAAAATACAGGAAGTGCTTTTGTTTTCATGGAGAAAACTATAAACAGACTGTAAGACTGGCTTTACATGAGGATTTGCAATTCTTTTGTGTTCTAAAGAGGTAAATTTAACGTGCCGTCTTCTGAAAATTGTTGTACTCCCAATTTCAATTAAAAAGCTTAGGTGAAACTTTCAGAAAAATCTGGTTATTTTTCATGTATGGGGTGCACAATCCTAGGATTATCTGATTTATTTTCACTAGTAGAAATCACTTAATACTACATTAAATGAGTTGTGAGCATACTGGATGAGAAATACCAAATCGGACATCCTTCAGCTTATTTTCAAGTAATTAAGGTTTAGAAAAGGCTGTATTTCTGTTCATCTATAGAGATGATAATTAAAGAGATGGTTAACACGTAGCTTGTATTTTTGTTCTCTGGGTAAATGCTGGGTAAATGACTGTAAATGCTTTCATGGTCAGTTTCTTCTGATTTTTTTAGAATGACTTAGCTTCCAGTTTGTTTTGTTGCTTTTTTACTTTTCTACATTGTAAGTAAAACTGAATTATTTTCCTTCAACTATAACTGTTTATAAAGGAATACTTTTGTATCCTCTCTGTTTCTGCTTCTTGAGCATCATGAAGTTGACATGCTCATGCTTATCAATCTCATATTCTAGCATCCATAAACCTACTGCCTTTCTGATTTTGAATCATGCAGCTGGTAACTGGTGTGCGTTTCTGAAGGAGCAATCAGAACATACCTATTTCTAGAAATGTTGCCTCTGTCCTTTTTCTTTTGTTTAATGGCCAGCCTGCTTCACAGATGATTGTTATTTTCTTTATTCTAGAGGTAATTGACAAGTTTAACACTATGGCAATAATTGATGGGAAGAAAGATCATGTGAGTCTGACTGTTGACAATGTTCATCTGGAGTATGGAGTGGTTTATGAGTATGACAGCACAGCAGGAA